AGGTCGTTAACCAAAGGATTGTGCAAAACCCTCTAATATAATATCTAGTATTTAGAAAACTTAAAGTTAAATTTTGTAAATGTGTAAATTTTATAAACTTAAATGTTGTGGAAAAATGAGAGTCGCTTAGACTATCGTTAACCCATTAAAGACTATAATTATTTTTAGACGTTTGTAATTTAAGTATCGCCTTATTTTTTAAAGAGTGTCTCAGGTTGGTACTAGAAAGATTTCTATGCGTTAAAATTATATATTAATCAAGCGAGAGATTTTATTCAATAAAAAGGAAGCGATCCATAGATAGGACACTGGCCTTTAATGTATCAGAGATACTAAATGAGTGAAAAGTATTCGATACCGAAGGAATGCATCCTTATTCCTAGTTTCGGGGTACCAGGATTAAATTTCATAGTGACATGTCACGCAGTATTCCGTTCATATTCTGAAAGTCTGCACAGTTCGGAATCATTTAAAATTTTAATTTGCCCGGCGAAGGAAAGAGAGAAGACGTCACATATTCGCTTACATTTGCGCGATATCGCCATCGTACGCTACGATATTTTATCCTTTTTACGCGAGCGCGGTGAAATCATGATTTCGCGCGCCTGAGTTGATGGACCGATGTCTTCGAAAAATTCGAAGCAGGACCTCGAGTGACATCACCTACTTCACCCACTTGAATTTCCGGGTCGGAGCGTGCCGCCAGATTTCCTCGTTGCTCGTGCCCTCACCTACGTGAGCCTCTTTTCAAGCGACCTTCACAAGTACTCCGAACGTACTCCACATGCGTCGTACTGAAATTCGAGACATGCAGCAGCATTTCGATGGGTTTTCGACGTTACAGATTACATTACAAGTACTTATGTTAATATCTTGATACTTGATCTCGGTATCCGATTACTTGGAGCGGTATTTTATCGAGTGTTCTGCTAACACCCTCGAACTCGAAGAGAGAGAGAGAGAGAGAGAGAGAGAGAGCGATTATAAAAACTACCCCTGTTTACCCTGACAATGCTAACTTGTAAATATTGTTCCTCTCAAAGTGAGAAGTCCTTATTTTTGCACATATGAGCGCGCGAACGACGAGCGTTTTGAAGAGTACAAAACTGCAAGGAGGTTGCGTCGCAACTGTGGACGCAGCTTTACGCGAGCCCCACATTTATCTGTAGCAACGATACCACGAGTAAGGAACGCGCGGACTCCAAACGACGCGTAAATATTCATATCAATTCGCCGGCATTGTGAGGAACTGCCCATGGGACACCGCGTGGCATGCGAAACGCATGCACGGCTGTTGGCACGGAATGGCAACAAGCGTGGCTGCACATTTTTACAGGAACTTTCAATGTCTCGTGCCCTTTCCGGTCCGCACGCTCCGCATCTTGTACAGGGCAGGCCAGATCTAACAGGACAGCTCACTCGCCACCGACGAATTCCTCGATTGCGATGCGAGTGGGATTCATGTTCCCTGGATCGAGAAACCTGGTCGAGAGCGCGACATTCGCAAGGTAATCGCAAGACGACGAGCTTTTCTGAGAGCAGCCAACGCCGAGAAAGTGAACGGATAGAAGAAGGCTCCGTTCGATCTCAAGCGGACTTCGCTTTGACTTCTGAGTTATGGATTTACTTTAATGTACTCCCATAAGTTATGCGGATAATTCTCTCGAAAAATATCGTGAACGACCATCTCCCTCGCGACCTTTCCGTTAAGGATCGACTTGGATACGATGAAAGGTGGCTCGCTGGATCTGAGATACCCTGTACGGCGCGCACTCGCCGGCCGTTGATACGATCTACGAACGAAATATGCATAACGTCAAACGCGACGGTGCGTCATTTTTGAGCGCGCGCGCAATTTTTCACGTCCGCAAATGAAGCCGGTCGACCGAAGAGGGTTATCCTGGAAGGACATCGCGAGGATTCAGAGCCTCGCCGAGAGCGTGTAAGCCTGACCGTTCTTTGTCCGCGTGATTTTCACCGTTCTGCGACAATTGACGCTCGAGCTTTCGTCGCGAATTCGTCCAGAGGACCACAGTTGAGCAATCGATGGACGTTGTTTACGTGGCGTTTACATAATCGCGCGCACGGATCCACACGTGTAATTATGTCAAGCGTAGCGCGCGGCCAGATATCAGCATACTGTTTGCTTGAATAGGGCTGATTGCTGCGGGCCCATCGCGAATAAATCACTCGGTGACTCTATATTAAGTCCTGCGCTATCGCACCCTGCACTCACTCTCACCGGGTGGGGGGGGGGGGCCTTGGACTCCGGGCTCTCATAAATCCATCAGCGGCCGTCGGGGATCGGCAAATTCGCCTCCGGCTCGGCAGCATGCCCGGACTTTCGCATACTTCGGGAGCCTCGTTTATTTTCGGCTGCTATCACCCTTAACCCTTTCAGCGGCGCCAACGCCAACGCATATTTGCCTTCGACGTAAGTCCGAGGGAGAGACGGGTGTTTGGAGTCTGAGCAAATATCGATGCCGGATTTCCTCCGGAACGACCGAATTTCCAACGGAGTATCATCCTTCGTCACGCTCATCCTAGCGAGTTGTGTGAATTTTCTGAAGAGCGGCGCATCTTAACGTTAAAGGCGGACGAATATTTCTCGCCTCGAAGAAATGTGCACTCGCGCGTTGCTTCTTCAGGCAATCGGGTTACGGGAACTTCCCTCGTCGATTCGGTACTCGCTGCAAACCGGATCGGTCGGGCTTATTTGCAGATAAAATAAGGAATACGCGACTTCGTCGCCAGAGGTGGAACGGTTAAATCCGATAAAAGACTCTTTATACTTCTCGGAAGGTATCCTTCGCGCCCAGAACGTAGCGCCGAGCTGCTGCACGCTGGGCGTTACGAATGTACGCCTCGTTAAAAAGCAAAGAGGAAAAAGAAGAAACGAGAAACGAGATGAGAAGAAGAAAAGGTAACAGAGGGATTACGTTCATCACGCTTCACGTAACACCGCGTGCTGCCGAATCAGACACGTCGGAGAAGAAGAAGAAGAAGAAGAAGAAGAAGAAGAAGAAGAAGAAGAAGAAGAAAAAAGAAGAAGGAGAGAAACAGAACAAACTCGAAACTCGCCTCGAGGGATAACTAAATATCAACAGAGAGAATATTTATGGGACTGTATTACGCACACATCTCTCGCGAAAGCGCGCTTGTTGGTCGAGCGGAACAGCGAGCGATTTAAAAGCAGAGGCGCGTTCGCACTTGAGATTTACGAATTGTCATTTCAATTCTAATCTATTCTCCACCCGCTCACGATCGGCGGTGCAGGAGGGGTGGCGGCGGGGAGAGGTGTAGGGTCCCCGCGGCGACGAAGATGAAAGTGGCTCTCTTGGCTCTCTGAGCGCGGGTGCACGTGTCATAACGCCTGTTGCTTCATTAACAATGACGGAGCGTGACGGTCGAAGCAGAAGAGAAGAAAGTTACCTCTGGAATCGACGACGAGCGGCGTTAGTTTTCGGGCGTGTGTGGTCGCTCGATAAGTAAGTCCATTAGAAACGGGATTCCTCGCGGATGGATATTGTGAAACGAGCGTATCGGGGAATACATTACCGAGTTCTATTGGCGGAAATGCAAACGCGAACGATCATGGCGATGTATCAACGAGCCCGGCGCGAGCTTTCTCCGAATCGGCAAGAATAGCCGCGAAGGTACGCTACCGTTTGCGCGGCGCGTCATCGCCGGACAGTCATCATCGTCGTCGTCGGCGATGCGACCTTGTTCGGATGCGCGAAATGCTTCGAATCGGGATGCTCTGACTCAGTGGGACTGACCAGTGAGGAGGAGCAGTTTGAAGAGGACAGAAAGAAGGACAATAAAATCAGTCGCTCGCGATTACTTTGACGGCTGATTGACTTAGCCGTTGATGATGATCAATTGATGATCAATTAGGCTGTTATCGTCGAAGTCGATCATTAATCGCATCATGTTTGGACTCTGTCCACTCTTCTCGGTGAAGTAGGCGAAGTCTCAGCCGTTGTCTCAGTCGCACGCTTTGAAACGGATCATTCGTTCTCACGATCAATCAGCGCGCTTTTCGCGACTTTTCGTTCATCGTTGGCAGTTTAAATGACCGTTTAAATGACCGATGCAGCATTCCAGCGACAACAGGTGCGCGGCAGGAATAATGCGCGCGAGGCCTTGCAAAAGTCCTCCGCATATTTCGAGGATTGCATTGCCACAAAAAGGGCATTGAGAGCGGACTCTCCAAGTCCGATGGGAAGTCTTGTCGGTCGGCGGTTAATTGATCCTCCCGAAAGGTCATTGTTAATCACTTCGGCGAATATTAGTGACGCGCCACCATTAGCCGTATACGGCCGAGTTATTCGGATGAAATCCGGCATTAATTCACTCGGCGAGTCCAGCGAGTGTGGGAGAGACAACGGTCGAAGAGAGAGAGAGAGAGAGAGAGACCTGAGCGCGTTTACGCAAGGATGCGGCTGAACTACATTCCGAGGAGCGCGTCTTCGATCGACGCTCCTGTCGCTATCGGAGATATCGACGAGTGCGTAGCGAAAGGCATCCATTCGTCTCTCCCGAGTTCATTCGCGTCAAACGAAATGGCAATGAAATGACACCTCAACAGTGCGTCGCGTCGCTTCCGAGCGAACGAGTAAAAAGTCTCCTGTAATATAAAATATGGATTTCCCTCGTCTGAACGGTCGATCAGACGTTTGCGAGCTGAAATCGGGATGCTGGTGTAAGGTCAGCCCGAGCCGGTCGCGAATTGCGAACGAGTCCCATCACGAGTGCCGATGGCGCGAAGAAACGATGGACGAAAAAATCGCGCTCCAGGTGAAATAGGCGGGCAAGAAGGGAGGGGGTGTGAGAGAGCAGAGAGGAAGAACGCACGGGAGCGATGTCGGAGGAGTCGAAATGAGAAGAATAGGGAAAAGAGAAGATACAAGCGAGGATGGGACTCAGGTCGGCGGTCGGGGGGTCGGCGACCCCCACCCTGTATAAAAGCCTTTTTCTGCCGACGACGTGTTCAGTCTTTCAGTTCGAACGGCGCGCTGCGTGCGATTATCTCCGGTAATCATCCTCGTCGTCAACCTGGAGGCCTGCCGGCCACGGACGATGCCCTGCTGAGAGAAAGAAATCGGCGTCAGGATGCTGCGGCCTGCCACCGCGGTTCTCTTCACCCTGGTACGTCAGTCAGCGAACCCTCCTTTTGTGTGCACTTTAGGCAGTCGGCGAATACGAGGGCAAGCAAGGGCTTGGAATCGGTCCAGCTGGGCTTCCGCGTCTTGATAAAAATCGTATCGATCGAGAAATATGTAACGGGCAACAATAGCGTTGACGAGCCACGAAATACAATAATATACGGAGCGATTGGCGTTGTGCACGTTGCGTGCTTTTAATAAGACGCACATGTTTCCGCGAAGCAGTGTTCATCCGAGAGAATATTATAATCACTTCATCACTAATAAGTAATCGAACACGAGAAGAAATTGCGTAGCTATTAATTAATTCGACTAGCTCAGATTGATTGAAGATCTCCTTCAATTAAGTAATCTCCCACGTCAGCTCGATTTTTTTATTGAAGAATTGTTTCCAATTGTATGATGATCATGTTGCATCTGCCAGTCGTAAGTCGAACGTACGAAGTTCGCGAGGCTTTTCATCTGAATAATTCGCGGCGACTGGGACCACTCTGTCGTGCGGACGACGCATCGCGACGTGTATTTGCATCTGGTACTCTTGTGTAAGAAAGAAATGCATACGAGTGAGAACGTCGCGTTACGAAATCCAGCGGCTACACGCAGGCTGCAAATAACAACGACGGGAAAATTCGGCAGGAAGGAATTTGGTCGGTTCTCCTTAGAAATACCGCGCGCACTTTTTTTCTGTTATTTATTACATGACATATCTGTTAGTTTTGACAAACAATTTAAGCCACTGTATTTGATTTCTATTTAATTTAATATTTATATTTAATTTAATATTTAATATTCAGAATGCCGTATATCGCATTTTACGCGTACTATTGTTTTAACTATGGCAATAATTTAAATAATCTTTTTGTAGATACACAATAATGTACCATATCGCGCAGCGTATTACTATCGCATTACATTTTTATCAGACAATATGTATTCAGCAATCTTAATAAAAATATGCGATAGAGAGTAGTAGATGGTACACGTGAATTTTGTGCACAGTAATAGTACGCGAAATAAAAAGTGTTGATTACAATTCCACGATAGTTGTGCTCGTCGTGACTCATTATCCGCGAGATTCTCATTGATCTTGGCACCGGCGTAGAATGCTGCTGCACTACATTTCATTCATATCTCTTCCTCCAATGTCGCGACGTTACAGCAATATCGTGCAACGTACGCACGCACAATACGCGACCCACTCAAATTCTGACTTGCAATTCCTCGTTAGAAATATGGTAGATATTAACGCATCTTGACGGGAGAGGATTCATCGACATGTGAGAACGGGAGAGACATAATTTCTCGTTTATATTTGCCAAGTAGCGGCTTATGAGTAACGCCATTGATATAAAATCGATAATTTATACACCTTGTCATGCAAAATTAATATTTATTCGATATTTAAATTCACTGATTATTACTCGAGTTAATACGGAGTTGTTGGATTACACTAATGTTCTTGTATTAGCGAAGTCTCTGAGAATTTAAATTTGCCTTGCTCTTCGCTGTTTATATCATGTATCGTAATTACTTTTATACACACACACGTACACGTACGTGCACGTACGCACACATATACATACATACGTCCCTACATACGTATACATATATATCATATATACATAAATACATATATATATATATACATATATACATACATACATACATATATATATATATTTATGTTTATTTCTGGATATATCAGTAAGCATTTAGACATTTTTGCGTGATAGCAAGCATCACAAGCAATTTATTTATCTTCCGTTTATCTTCCGCTATTATTATTTTGTTACTATTAGTGTTTACTTTTCACTTGAGTGCTACGTTTGAATACCTTTGGTTTGAAATATCTTTGGGTAAGTGAGAATTACTTTGTTCTTTCATCCCCACATATCGATATATTTCTTTTTATTGAAACGACCTGACCATTATTATTATTGTTTAATTATGAAAGATATTATTGTATAATTGTAAAGGAGTTTTTCTCCAGGATCGGAAATCGTTTTGTTCCCAGTAATCAGATGTCAGATGAGATGTCGCATAATGTGAGTTACGTGTAAACGTCGTTCACATGTGAGATATAATTTGATCCTTGATGAGCCGGTACATAATTTATAATGATTTGAAATTAAATACAAAGAAAACGTGCCATTTTCCATGAGAAGATTTTAATTGATCTCTCGCATCATCGAAACTCACACACGCTCCTATAATCTGAAAATAAGATCTCCGGGTCTCGGAGGTCTTAGTTCCCTCACCTACTTTGATTAATCCGTCAAAATATTTTCGAGATCGAACGGGCAGAATGCAATCACTAAGATCAATGCGCGCGGCCTCACAGAAGGCGAACAATTGTGTACCGGAGGCTTCGCCCCGAGCTACAACGCTGGTCCTTTACGCAATCGCTTACAGGTGACTTTCACTGGAAGATGATACATCGATCTGGCCCCCCGTACTCAATGCGTAAAGTGATACAGCTTTGGCCACCTGACCATGCTGGACTCGCTGCGTGCAATTAAAAGAGATCCGGCTACGTCAAATGTCGTCCCGCTTACCTTTAACTCGTGCCAAAGTCTCGAATGCGCGACCTTGTTTGCTCCTGAGATGGATGGTCCTTGATAACGCCCGGCTTAGATCCGCGGAAATAAGATGTCGCGACTTCAGCAGACACGTTGAACACTTCGCGTCTGTTCATCACTCTATTAATAAGTAATTTGGTAGAATACGTGTGTGTGAGAGAGAGAGAGAGAGAGAGAGAGAGAGAGAGAGAGAGAGGGAGAGAGAGAGAGAATTGATGAGATATTAACATACAAAGGGAAAATGAATTATTAAAACAAAGCAATTTAATTCATCGTCGCAGCCTTTAAAGCTGAAGGCCGGTCGGTGACTTGTAGGCACGATTAAGGATTGTTTTAGAGACTGCGCGTAGTCGAAGATGAAAGTCGTGATAGAGTGATGTTAGACTCTGGCTGAAACGATAATAGCGCAGTCATTTTTTCGGTTCTCCTGGCAGATTCCCGGCGTCCCTGAACGGAATCCTGATCCTGTCTCCTCCCATTCTCTCTCTCTCTCTCTCTCTCTCTCTCTTTCTCTCTTGCTCTTTGATAAATATGTTTAGCGAGAGCTATTCCTCCCACAAGAAAATAAATTTAATTGTACCTTTCGCCGCGCACGTCTCGCATATAAAGAGCTGCTCCGAGTGAGTATGCGATCCGTCCACTAAATGAAAACGGGGTGGATCGATTGTATCTTTTTGATTTATTTACCACTGCATTGCGATGCATTTGCATGATTGTAATTATAATGCGCGAGATGAAGTTGGCTGTCAGGATCGAGCGATCAAGTACCGACATGGCAATCGTTCGTAATTGAATAATAGAAAATAGTTGAGACGAATAAGAGAATAAAAGTCCGGTAACGGAAAGGATCGAAGTGCTGAAATAAATAAGACAATGAAATACGAAGTAACATCATTCGATTGAGCAATTAAACTTTAGAATTAGATTAGAATTAACTCAGCTGCCCGAGAGTTTTACATATTTTTTTTGGAATATTTAAATACCCGTTTAATCCGCGAATTGCTCAATTGCTGCTTTCAAATATCGCGCATGAGTGAAGAACGAAGCACAAAATCACCGATAACGATATAAACGACAATAAAACAAACGACAGACAAACATCACTTACAATTTCTAATTGCGAGTAAGATGAATGTCCCAGTAACCGGGCGTTTAAGCGCGTAGGTCGTCACAAAAAATACAATATATAATATTAAGAATAGTTTTGATATAAATATTTGCATTTATTCGAAAACGTAAGATTCCCTCAAATAGAGAAAACTGGTTTAAATCAATGTATATATCTATTATCAATGAAATATTTAACACAAGTAATGAAGCGCATTAATGTACCAGTGACCGGACACTTAAATATAGATGCTATCTCTTAATGAATTTATTAACGATCGACCGATTACTTTACCAAACCATGGGTGCATACTTATTTAATTAATTTTTATTTTAATACCAAAGTATCAAACTGAGTATAATTTTTTTCAACTAATCGTCAAATATTGGAGTTTTTCTACAATAATTATTACTTTCATTCATTATTGTTAAAATAAATAGCAAATATTGTTTTTCAAGTCGGATACTGGGATGTGTCCGGCCATTGAGACGTTTACCTGAGTTCTACTCACGAATTCGAATATCAAATTGGTAACTACCCTGTTTATACCAATAGTGCTGACTGACTGTTTATACCAATAATAACAATAACGATTATTATTCTTCAACAGATAATTATAAGCAATTATAACGCTCTACTGAACAATTGATGGAAGTTATTAGAGACGTGCGAATCAAGGATTTTTATGTCGAATCGAATCGAATCGAATCTATGAAATTTCATTCGAATTCGAATCGAATCGAATCGTTAAAAAATTTAACATGACTATTAAACATGCAAATAGTGATGGAAGATTTTAATATGGAAGGGAATATTGATATTGTAAATGTCATCTTAAAGTAAAATATATATTTAAATATTTAGAGTAATTTATAATTAAGTTATTAATTATAAGTTAATTACAAGTTAAGGGTTCAAACATACAGGCCCAGATGGCCCGCTTTGCAGCTGATGAGCGCAAACGTTAATGTATTCAATTCGTATTCGAATCTTCGCGATTCGAAATTTTCGAATTATTCAGATTCGAATCGAATTACATTAGATTCGATTCGATTCGATTCGAATCTGAATAGTTCGCACACCTCTAGAAGTTACACGCGACTTCTCAATTGCTTCTTATCCGTAGACCCTTGCGTCAGTTCAAAGTCAGATCCGCAGATCAGAGGTGGCTCTCAGTAGGTAACTCGAACGTCAGCGGACTTTCTTCCGCTGTTACGTACGTTATCCGTCGACGGCAGCAGTTCGATTCATAACATCGCATAAATTAACATATCTTATCGTGCAGCCGCCGACTTCGTAACGTCCCCTGAAATTAAGGAAGATCGAAACCGGTAATTTCGACGAGCTTGACAAACACGCGGGCAGGAGCCGTTTTCGCGAATCTACAGTGTCGAGCTTTCGGCTCGAAATTACGGCGCTGCGAAATTACACCGTTTACGGAACCTGCTACGAGTTTCGAGGGACGACTTTGTGCCCCTTTAAGTGTGCGTCTGAGACTCGCGCTTTTGAGAACGCGAGTAATAGCGAGCACAAGAGCGAGCACGAGGATTGTCTCGGAAAGAGGCGAACGGCACATCGCACTCTCGGACGCCACGAATGCCTCGGCTGAAACGATCTCGCTATTGTCCACTAAAATACCGCGACATAAATACCGTAGGGATTAATCCTCGCGGCAACATTTGACGCGGCAAATGCGCGCGGGGAAGGGTTGGCACGGGAGTTAGCATATATTAACCTTTCGTTATATAGTCTGTCAACCTGGGGCTGGAAGAAGAAGAAGAAGAAGAAGAAGAGAAGAAGAAGATGAAGAAGCAGACGAAGAAGACGAAGAAGAAGAGGAAGAAGAAGAAGAAGAAGAAGAAGAAGAGCTTGCATATAGCCTTCTCAGAATCGCGACTTTCCCTTCTCGTGGGTGGAACAACGAGACAGTTGAGATCATCGGAGAGCGCGAAACAGGCAGCGAATCCTGGCCGAACCTAACTTGACCTAGTCGACCAGGATATGTGCCACTTTTCACGGTGTATACGATGTTCTCTTGTTGCTCATACGAGGCGTCTCTGCCGAACATGAATTGATTACGAAATCGAACGAAATGGCTTATGCTAATGACCGCGAGGTGATATCGTACAGGATCGATGAGTGGTGTGAAAGTGAAAATAATCGATGACCACATAAAGTTACGTCCAGTCGCGCTGACAATGATGACTATTGTAACATAGCGCGATATAGCACAGCAAAGTGTAAAGCATTTTTACAGCATTTTTGCATGTTGTACACTCTGTACTTGTATATGTATTTACTTGCAGGATGTGTTGTAATCTATTTCGCCGCACAAACTTAATTGGATCACATCTTTAATTGATAAGAAAGTTTCGTCACTTATTTTTCCAAGGATAAGATTGCGCCGTCCGTGTGGCCCGAAATTGAATTTAGGGGTTGTCGCCACTCGTCATTTGAGCACCATCAAAAGTCAGCGGCTGCACTCAGCACCGTCTCAAGTTAAAGTACGATTAAACATTCGCCGAATGTGTTCGGATACGTCATGGCGGAGGAACCTCGGTATCCCCACCTTGACATTTCCTCAGGCCGTATGCGGCAAAGAGGCTTTTATATTCGTCGTGTCGCCATTTAGGGGGATGCGAGCGTAATCTTCCGAGAGAGCGTGTCGTGGTCTTTCGCAACAGCATCCGGCGGTTCTGTTCTGCGAGCCAGTATAGCGACACTCTCGTTATTATTGTCACCATGAGATCCCGTAGAAGAGCTGAAATTTGGCCGAACCTCGTCGGTCGGATCGACTCGACGGTTGACGGTTAACGAGAAACAACATCAACCCGACGATTGCGTAACGACGGTGAGCAACTTTTGTTGCGGCTCTCGCTTGATCGTTCAGCTGCCACAAAATTATGACCTCTGTCGAGTGTTAAATAACACTGTGTTTCGCACCTAGGCATGGCGCATGTGCGAAGAGCTGGCCTGCTGTTTGTATGTGTGTATACACACATGTCTAATCCCCGTACAGGCATTTCGTTTATCATGCGTTCCTTTCCGAGTAGTATCGTCGGCTTGAGCAGAATGTTCTTGAAATAGAATTTCCTCTGCGTGACGCCGAGCGCGGACGTTTGCAGATTCGTCGAAGGTTTGAAAATGTCGTGTTTCTTCATTTTGTATTTGTTCCATGCATATCTATATGAGCAAATTCGGAACGATGATCTTATACGTGTATTTTCGTGCAGGCAACGTCATGGCTTCTAGTTGTCTCAGTATTTCCTAAAATGATCGAACGTCCTCTCCTCTTCTCTTCGATTCGACACGACTTCGCGTTGCTCCCCTTAACGCATTATGATAATTGTTGTTACAATTGCGTAATAGGTAAGTGTAAAGGCACACCGAAGGCGGACGATGGTCCCGCAGGTTTGGGAATTTATTATCCTGGGATATGTGTAACAATATGAGTGTATCGAGCGAAGCGTGTTAATGGATTTTGAAACATCTTTCCCAGAAGCACGTGCGGAATATTTTCGATTGCATAATATTGCTAAGTAGTGTACAATCGCGGAAGTAATCAAATACTTCTGGGTCATCCTTCTATGCAAATTGATGAAAATTTTGGGAGGAATTTCTACTTTTCAGTTATTGATTTCGCTTTCGCGACTTTCGCTCACGTAGAATGGATAATTAATCAAGATCAGCGGCGGAGCGCGGGGTATAGCTGATTCCCCGACCAGCACGTAGCCGTGAAAGTGAAAATCTGTTATTTCATAATGTATTAATATATTAGTCTGCGACGCTTTCGAAGATAAAGAAGAAAAATTCCGCGTGCTGAACAATCTTCCTCTAAAAAGAGGCGTGTAGCGTAAAGTGTCGTTCAGCGCACCACCGCCTCGTCGCGATTAAAGCAAGTTTTTTAAATTCTTTAGAATGTTGCCAGACTGCGCAATGTTTCTGGAATTAATATCTAGGTAACGAACGTAAGAATGATCTGGTCGTCTTGACATTTAAAGTGATGTGCTGTGCCATTAAAGAATCTTTGGACGATAAACTTTGGAAAGGTTAGCAGAATTATTCGAATTGAAGGCCTGCAGAGATCTACATCGAGATGCAGTGCATTTCACAGAACGAGTCGCCCTTTTATTGGATTAACAAGAAAATAATTATCAAGATCTTCGAGGTTACGAAGATAATATATATTCCTCGCTACGTATATATTACAAGCAGCGTGCGTTTGAAAGCAGCTAAATAATGCAGGCGTATTCACGCTATAAGTGTTTCTCGCGTTTCTTCAATCGCGCGATATATCTTTGAACTCGAACATCCAGTAGTTAAATCGCTGTAACTGCAGAAACGGGAAATGACCATGATATTTCACGATTATGCTTGTAGATCGTATCGAATACTCAATCCTGGTGACCGATATTAAAGGCCAGCTATTTTTAAACATCTCCCGATAATTACATTGTGTTTCATTCGAAATGTCACGAGCCTTGACAAAGCGAAATTATTGCAGCAGGCAACCATTTCTTATTAGCAGAGTACTCTCTCATAAAGATAGCGTGTCTTATTAAATATATTTTTCCGTTAATTGTTCTCGCCTCGCCGAACATTCGAATAAAAACAAATGATTGCTTTTCAGGTGATTGCCACGTCCGTGTCGCAATTTACTCAGGAGCCAAAGAATACCGATCGGAGTGATGAAGTGATTCTGAGCATTAGCGATAAACAGAAAACTCAGTACTTAAGTCAAAATGTTAAGGCAGGCAAGTATACTTATTATTAAGTGAAACATCTCAGTGAAAGACTCATATAAATAATAAGATGGAAAAATGAAATAAGTTCGCGTTTTATAAGGTCATTTTAATCATAAAATCGTTCTTAACAAAGTTAAATTATATACTGTAAATTTCTCTCAACTGATACTGATACTTCAGATTGTTGCAAGTCAAAGATTTATAATTGATTATTATGTTGTATAGATGCGTACAAATACGGTTATGATGTAAGCCCGCATGGCCAGTTCCATCATGAAGTACGTGGTCCAGATGGGGTTACCTACGGATGTTATGGCTATTTGGATCCTTTTGATCATCTAAAGACAACATTTTATCTTAGCGACGGGTGGGGTTACCGTGTTATACAACCAGGAAAAGACGTAGAATTGTTTCTTCATAAGCACGAACATCACCAACAAGGGGATCACGAGCATCACGAGCATCATGGCGTGATTACGCCTTGGCAGCAGCTTTATTTCCCAGCAATCTGCGCGCAATATGCAGACACGAGCGCACCAATAACGCCACCGTTAGGTGTTGCAAGTGCGTAAATATAACTACATAAAAATATATGTTTATACGTATGTGTAAATATGTTAAAATAAGTGAACATACATGTAAATTGGCATTTTGTTAAGCAGTACCTATCGGAAGCGGAACAACAATTAATGCAACGCCGACCAAACCTCAACGACCGCCTTATAAACCTGATTCAATTGGTATACCCTTTCGATCTTATTACATATATATAATGCATAATAATTTATGTATCATATATATTTATATATAAATACAGAAAGCTATTAGAGAAAAGTATATATATATATATATATAATAACGTTAAATTATGTTTATTTTTTTAACACTTTAGGCATATCTGGAGTGTCATATCCAGAGCAACCTGGAACACCAAATATGTCAGAATTTCCTGGTAGTCCTGGATTACCAAGTTCATCGGGGATTCCTATATCGCCAGGAACTCTAGGACGACCGGGAACTCCAGGAGCGCCAGGAACTCCAGGAAGACCAGGAGCGCCAGGAACTCCAGGAAGACCAGGAACTCCAGGAAGACCAGGAACACCAGGAACCCCAGGATCCCCAGGGACTCCAGGAACTCTAGGAATTCCAGGGAGACCAGGAGTTCCAGGAAGTTTAGGGACGCCAGGAACTTCAGGGACATCAGAGATTTCAGGGAAACCAGGAACATCAAGTGCTTCAAGTTTCCTCGAAACGCCAGGAACATCAGGAATCCCAGGAACCCCAGGGAATCCAGGAACTCTAGGAATTCCAGGGATACCAGGAACTCCAGGAATTCCAGGGAGACCAGGAGTTCCAGGAATTCCAGGGAGACCAGGAGTTCCAGGAAGTTTAGGGAGGCCAGGAACTTCAGGGACGTCAGAGATTTCAGGAAAACCAGGAACATCAAGCGCTTCAAGTTCCCCCGGAACGCCAGGAACACCAACTTCGCCTACAATACTAGGAAAACCAATATCATCAAGTACTACGAATTTACCATTGACACCAGGCAGACCAGGATCAAGTTCTTCGACTATTTCTGAAATATCTTATCCATCCTATCTTCTAACACCAGGAAGTAATATTGACCATATAACACCGGAGTCGTTAAGTCCATTGCCTTCAACACCAACTAGACCAATAACACCATTTTATCCAGGATATCCTGGACAACTAACTACATCAGAATCTTCTGGCTTTCCTGGAACACCAGAGATATCTGGTACTCCATCTTATCCAGGGAATTTAAGTTCAGAAACTTCCACTATTTTGGGAGCATCAAAACCTGGATTATCAACTTACCCTGAACACTCAGGAACACCGGGAATATCAGAAAGGCCAGGAACTCCAAGTAGGCCAGTAATTTCCGCTATTCCGGGGATATCAACAAAACCTGGCATATCGGCTTATCCAGGAACGCCGGGAATTCCTGGTACTGCCGGAACACCGGGTATACCAGGCACTCCGAATAGACCATTAATTTCTACTATTCCGGGAACACCAGTAAAACTCCTGGCCAGTGCTGGAACACCAGGTATACCAGGCATTTCAAGTGTACCAGGAAAACCAGGGACATCATATTATCCAGGGTATCCAGGAACATCAGGCGCTTCAGGAATTTTCATCATTCCCGGATCGTCGGGGACACCTGGGATCGGTACACCTGGACTTCCAGGGACATCAGGCAAACCTGGGACGCCAAGTTATCCTGGACATCCTGGAATTTCTGTTTCTCCAGAATTACCCGAAGTACCTTCTTATCCAGGACATTTTGAAACTCCAAGTAAACCAGGATCTCCCGGTATTCCTGGAACACCAGGTATTCCAGGAACTCCTGGAATACCAGGAAGGCCAGGAACACCGGCGATAATAGGCACACCCGGTATACCCGGGAGACCAGGTACACCAGGAATTCCCGGAACTCCAAGTATATCAATAATATCATCTTATCCAGGATATCCTGCAATACCAGGATCTCCTGGCATTCCCGGAACACCGGCTATTCCAGGATCTCCTGGCGCTCCTGGAACGCCAGGTAGACCAGGAGTACCAAGCATACCCGGAAGACCAGGTATACCAGGAAGTCCAACTATATCAGTAGTGCCATCTTACCCAGGACATCCTATAACACCAGGATCTTCTGGAACCCCCGGGACGCCAGGTAGCCCAAGTTTTCCTGGATTTCCAGGAACACCAGGTAGTCCAGGATTTCCTGGCATTCCCGGAACACAGGGTATTCCAGGAACTTCTGGCACTCCTGGAACACCAGGTAGACCAGGAACACCAGGCATACCCGGCAGACCAGGTATACCGGGAAGTCCCGGAACTTCAATTATATCAATAGTCCCATCTTATCCAGGATATCCTGCAATACCAGAATCTCCTGGCAGTCCTGGAGCACCAGGTATTTCTGGATTTCCTGGCAGTCCTGGAACACCAGGTATCTTTGGATCTCCTGGCACTCCTGGAAAGCCAGGTACATCAGGAAGTCCCGGAATTGCTAGTATACCAGCAATACCATCGTATCCAGGACACCCTGCAATATCAGGATCGCCTGGAACTCCCGGAACGTCAGGTAGTCCAGGTTTTCCTGGATTTCCAGGAACATCAGGTGGTCCAGGATTTCCTGGTACTCCTGGAATACCGGGTATACCAGGAGTCCCAGGTAGACCAGGAAAACCAGGGACGATTTATCCAGGATATCCAGGAATACCAGGTGTTTCAGGAATTCCCAGTATCTCTGGATCGCCGAGTACACCTGGAACATCAGGAAAACCTGGAACATCAAGTTATCCCGGATATCCAGGAATTTCTGATTTTCCAACTTCTCCCGAAGGACCTTCTTATCCAGGACATTTTGGCATATCGAGTATACCAGGATCTCCTGGCACTCCTGGAACGCCTGGAACGCCAGGTACTCCAGGACTTCCTGGAATATCAGGAAAGCCAGGAGCACCATCTTACCCTATTCATTCAGGAACACCGAATGCGCCACTAATTCCTGGTACTATTGGTACACTAGGAATTCCTGGAACCCCTGGAACTGGAATCCCAACTATATCATATTACCCTGGAAAACCTGGTCGCCCTGGAAAACCAGGTCTTCCTGGCCATCCCGGAAAACCTGGCATACCAGCGTATCCAGGAAGTTCATCATTTCCGAGCTATTCTCATATATCAGAAACTCCAGGAAAACCATTGCTTTCTGGACCTTCTGGTACCATTGGTAAACCCGAAATTCCAGGAAAACCTAGTGGAATTGCACCATTCCCACCTCACCATGATTATCCTAATACATCAAATTTGCCAACTAGACCTGGAATACATGGTATACCAGGAACAAGTGGAATACATTTAGGATATCCTGGCACACCTGGTACACCTGGTATACCAGGTACTCCCGGAATTCCAGGAGTACCCGGTACTCCAGGTACTCTTGGAGCACCTGGAATTCCGTTTCATCCTACGTATTCAGGAATCCCTGGCACCCCAGGTGTTTTGGGTATTCCTGGGGTACCATCACATCCAAAGTATCCTAGTAGTCCTGGTTCCCCAGGAACTTCCATATCATCAGGAAAACCAGGCATTCCATCTTATCCTGGATATCCAGGAATTCCCGATACGTCAGGAACATCAGGAACACTCGGCACGTCTGGAAAACCTGGAAGACCAGGTACTTCATCATATCCCGGATATTTCGACTTTCCTAATACGTCGGGCAAACCAGGCATTCCTACGAAACCTGGCAAACCAGGTATGTTATTGAAAGATCGTTGATTATTACAATTTAATTATAAGCAGTTGAAAATGTGCACCATATGAGTATAATTATATATTAATGTATATAATTTTTATGTGCTAAATTATATATTTAATCTAAAATTTGCTATATTTTACAGATTATCCAAGTTACCCTTTTTATCATGATTACCCACAATACCCTTCAGGTCCGGAAGGACCAGTGGGACCTGAAGGTCCTATTGGTGGCATTGGTGGAGTAGGAGGTATTGGTGGTGTAGGCGACGTGGGGCTTGACGGTCCTGATGGGCCGTGGCCAACTGGTTCGCCTGGTCCCGATGGACCATGGCCTGGAGATCCAGATTATATTCCTGGAGTAAAGCCAACAAGGAGACCTTCACACAAGAGACCGTTGAAAAGTCAACTACCTAAAACGTACTCTTCTGATATAAACAATCCTAATTATAAAACGCAATATTACCCTGGAAATAGAACTGATTTTGCATACGAAGGCTATAACGTAAATAATATTGAACCGACGGATTTGTCGCATTCGCCAAAAATAAGTATACCTTTGTATACGAATCAGAGAGAGCACGAATACGGGACTAAATCCTCGTCGTTAATTTATGGAAAGAAAGGAACCGCCTACCACGCAGGTGAGATCAACTCTTTGTTGCAAATAGGACCAACAGCACCATCATCAAAATACCTCGTCGACGATCAAAAAATAGACTCATTTAAAGAGAATGTGCAACCACACGATCATATAACTCACACAAGCTCAGAACCATTAAAAAAACTGCCTAAAACGGGTAGTGAACCATATTCTGTGCACGACCGGGATGAGAACCAGAAATCAGTGTTTTATCCAACGTATAATTTGCAACAGTCTCCAAGAAGACCATATCGACCAGTTAAATTAGGGCGACAAGAGAGCATCTTTAATACGCCTGAACAGTACAATAATTCTGCGAATGTGGATAGCAAAGAAATTTCTAACGTACCGTTTCAGCCGGATGGACATGTCAGTGTTCTGGAAAAACAGGTAAATGCACGACTTGAACAACCATTCCAGGCGAATCCCGGCGTCGACGCCATTGGGGTTCAGCCGCCCAGCTCCATCAACGTCAAGCCCTTCCCACTACCTATAGGCCCAGACCCACAAGCATGTCCTTGTTATTTAGTCGAGTCGAATAACAGCACAAACGTAGCGACCAGCACGACTCCTACCTCTATTATTGGTCAGTTCGGATTTATTCCTGTTATCTTTGTACCATACTGTCCTGGCGATGAGACGGACAGCAGTAAGATGAAGATTATGTTCCCATCCGCTACACCTGTCCCATATGCATGCGACGCATGCGGCACACAAGACAGCAAATTCGGGATACAGGTGCTCGATGTAAATCAGCTTGGCAATGTCGATTATCTTAAGAAGGTGTTAAGTCAGGCCAATCTTGGATTTTTAAATGTTCCAGTCAAAACGGACGCCGAACGAAGGAGAAGCAGAAGCAGAAAAGCGGAGTAAGGAGTAAAACTAACTTATTGCTGTTAAATTGCAATCGTTCTGCGAAGAGAAGTTCGCCCTCTCCCGAGGGATATCGATAAATATGGGATATTGGCTTTGCCCGTCCGTCAGCTGCTGGTTAGCCGATGGATGGCCAATTAGGGACAGTTGTAGCATTTGTCGAATAACCAAAGTTAGTGGAATATACGAAGGGTTTAGAGCAGAAATAAATTTTAAAATGTGTGTATAAGTTTAAATACGATACATATATCTTTACAGAAGTATACTTAAGTATTAAATATCTAAAATCTGGTGACCTTATAGATTATGAATTTATCCGGATAACATTTTTGTTCTAAGCCCTTAATATTTCTCTATTGCTTCACTATTCTCTCTCTCTCTCTCTCTCTCTCCCCCTCTATTTCTCCCTCTCCTCCTCCCTCTTCCTTTCGTCGCATTATTCTGTATATTTTTTACAAATATTGATATAAGTTAAAGAGCAATAGAGAAGATAATATTTGTATTTGATCACTGATTATGGTTATTCATTCAATGTTTAGGTTTAGGTATATTTAAAATCATTTATGAATAAGATTTCCTGTCTCTCTGTTTCGTCAGTTTTTGTTAACCAATATCCTAATATTTATTTAGAATTTATTTTTTGCTCCGTATCTCATTCTTTTAATAATATATATGAAATGTATTTGTTATATACTTATCAAAAATCTAAATAATGGAATGTATATAACAATTATTAGAGAGAGAGAGAGAGAGAGAAAGAGAGAGGGGGAGAGAGAGAGAGAGAGAGAGAGAGAGAGAGAGAGAGAGAGAGAGAGAGAGAGAGAGAGAGAGAGAGAGAGGAGAGAGGGAGAGAAAGGAGGAGAAAAAAGGAAATAGGAAAGGAGAAATAATTGATTAAACAATACTCTACAATATATATAAGTAATTCTAAAATTAAATTCAGCTTATAGTATTTAGCTTATAAATTCCTGGAGTTGTACATCATTCAAAGTTATTGTACTTTTGCACAAAACATGTAGGTTATAAATATATAAGTAATAATTTATATTTTTTAATTAATATATATTTGTACACATGATATTCAGATAACACAAAATACCCCGAACAGAGAAAGAGAAAGAGAGAGAGAAAGAGATAGATAGAAAGAGAGAGAGAGAGAGAGAGAGAGAGAGAGAGAGAGAAAGAGAGAGAAAATCGTGTGTTTCAAATATATTTAAAATATTTCCAAGAGATATCCGAATATATCTATGGAAACTATTTCAAGACGTTTTGAGGACATTCAACAGAATGATTTTAGGATGTCTTGTGTTATCTGGATATAATTTATTCTTATATGTATGTATTTTCTATAGTTTGAAATAAATATTGTAGAATTTATGTTTACAGTTCGATATAACTAAATATATACGTCAATTGTATTACAAATTGTATTAAAAACAACACATACATAAAATCATTGTTAAATAAATTAAATAAAAATTAATGAAAAATTGATTGAGTATGGTTATTAAACGTACAGACAAATTTTTAACTTCCCAAGCAACTTGTATTCAACAAGTATAAATCACCATTTCAATATAATTCATATGTTAATAAATTAAATTGAAATAAATGATTAATGATACAGGTGAGTTGAGGGGATGACATATCGCTAACGGATAAAAACAAAATTATATTATAAACAACGAGTTTTATTTCAGGATGCGGATATCTGTTATATTATAAAAGTATATCATTGTTTTATGTTGCATTATATATGACAGACATTTTTTATATAGTAATAAATGTTAAAGGCACGATCGTTTTGACAGAGACTCTCTATCATTCTGATAGAGACTGATAAGAACATATTAATAATAACAAAACAATTTAATTTGTAAAAATATACATAACATTGTGCGCTTAGGAATAACCGCGATAACCAGATGGATTAGCAAGAGAAGTACCGTAACTACCACGACCGCTATTTGGATAATTCGGGTTTCTGGATGCATACGATGAACCACGATTAGCACCGTATCCATCTCCGTAATCGTATCCAGGTGCTCCGTCATAACGACCGGGACCACGTTGTCCATATCCTAAATAATTGTCTTCGTAGCCAGTACCGTAGCTTCCATAACCTCCGTATCCTCTTAATCCGTAATCCCCATAGCCTCTATATCCGCCATATCCGCCATATCCACCGTAGCCGTTATATCCAATATAAGCTGGATATCCATCATAATATCCATATCTACGATAAAATTGAGTTTCATTCGACTACTCCTTGATTTTCAATATTTCTATTCCTGTATTATTTTTATATCTTATATTCTCCTACTGTTATCATTCTGATAACGGATCTTAATTTATATTGTCCGTGTAAGATACAGTGAAATGTATAATCCCCGAGACATTTTAACGTATTGAATTTTACCCGAGATAACCGCCACCGAGTCCTGGTACCAATACTTGATAACCTCTGTATCCTGGAATTATGCCACCACGGTATGATGTGCCAGGATATCCGCCGATTCCTGGATAACCCGAGGAACCACCATATCCTCCAGGATATCCTCCTGGATATCCTTCTGGATATCCTCCGGGATATCTGCCAGGATATCCTCCGGGATATCCAATTGATCCGTAATCTTTGTTTACATGAAATGCTGATGCAAATGTGCTTTATGTTAACAACTTATATATGGCAAATGATAAATTATTGAATATTGCGTAATCAAAGCGTTACCGTTAAAGTCTCGCTATTACATCAAAGTTTATTGCTAGACAGTAAACACACATGTTTTTACACGCACGTTGATATTACACGCGTAAGATGCAGAATGGTATGTGTGTGATTTAATGGATGTAATAATCGATTCTTATCCAACGCGATGAATAATTGGTACATTAACTAAGTATGTCACTGCCATTCTCACGCTCTGACTTCAAGAGTCGAGCACTTCCCATCGTACGTAAAAAAAAAAAAAATGATACTTTGATGTGTAATAATATGCTAATGTAACGAGCTGCATGAAGGACCTTCTCGAGAATACAACACGTGATTCATGTCAGAATTCAAGATGAATAATCCAGCTTGTATTTGTCATTCCGCGATGTTACTTCCGCGATACTTTGCGCAGCTCCCAAGAAATCTAGCTCTATTATCGTTACGTTCTGACACCAAAAATAGTCTGCGCAGAAACATAGATATGACATAAAGTCAAATAATTATAGAAATTAAAAAAAGTTCTTTTTTTTTTTTTTAATAGAATATTCAAGTAACGATTTTTGCAGTCGACGATAAATTCTTTAGGATAGGGTTTGTGCGCATTGAAGGCCAAAAATTAATTTATATCAGAAATGCGACGATGTTTCTTCGATGATCCCATGTTGTTATGCAAGTAGCTATTAAAATGCTGTCACATCGCAAAAACTAACTCAGTGTCATGAGTCAGCAATCTCCTTGAATTATTTCACATCTAATTTACAAGTTTGCCATTGCAGATAGAATCACAACTTCTTGCATCCACAGGCTAATAAAAAGGTCGGATGATGCTGTTATTCTTACTTCGATCACTTGCAGACGGAGTTAGATCTTTCGTGTCATCTACATCACCTGCGTACGAAGGCTGCGGATCGCCCATCGGTGTTAATTTTGTGAGTGGTTTTGATTCCGGTTCCGGTTCGGTCGCACTGCTACATAGTGCAATCAGACCGTAAACGGTCGATACCTGCGTGTGAGATCTTGTGTAGTGAAATCTCTCCATTAAGAAAGCGTCTTTCTTATCGGTATGTATCCTCGACATTACGTAAAGTGAATTTAGACGGAACAACCGGAGAGGTGAAGTAACGACTCTTGCTTCTTCTCCGCGCAGCAGTCTCGATTCGACAAAACAATATTTGCAATTGTGAAAAAAAAATCTTCTCTCAAAACTGAAGCCCCACTTGATCGTCGGCTTGTTTTACATGGATTTGTTCAACTAGAAGTGTCTTATAATAAAATATGAGTACAAACTTGTTCAATTAGAAGTTATTCCATGTAATTCCGTAAAAAAATTAACTGAGTCTTTTTTTTACGGAAGTTTATCTTCACAGCAAAACGATTTGGCTCGGCTATAGCGTTTAATTATAGCTGATTACACGATTTCATACAATGACATATAACAATTGTGACATCATTACAGATAACAATTGTAACATCATCATAGCTCGTATTTTTTTCACGTCGTAAAGCTCAGAAAAATAACACACCGGATCAGCTGATGCGAAATCAGATGCTGCGAAAATCAATAATACACGGCAAGCGGGTACCACTACTATTTTTGATTTCGAATTCTCAGGCACATACTCGATTATTTCGGATGGTGTCCGTAGTATCTGTGAATTTGAGTACTAGATAGATATCCGGCTACCCGGATATAGAAACTACCGATTTATACTGATAGCACTATAAGCGAGCGTTTTGCATAATGAACATTGTTATCAAACATCTAAAGTTGCATTAGCAATTTTCGCATGCATTCTCGAGAAGTACGTTTCGCGATTTGCAGTTTAATTATTACATCGAAGTAACTTTGTTAGCGATGCGCATGCACACTTGAAAAAGGAGAAATTTTTAAACAAAAGGAGAAAAAAAAAGAACGCTTCTCCCGTATCTGTCCGTGTACAAATGTTTGATTAATGCACGAAATTATTAATGCACCGATGAGATTCCGAATGCTTCCACATATCTGATACTTCGCACAATATATTTTTGGCAAATTCGCAATCTTTTTCTCGACTTTTTCTTCAGTGAAAGAGAATATCGTGCGCATGTAACGTTACGGTCAGGTGCGAGGAAATATGCTGAATCTACTCACTACGAGATACAACTTCATAGCGCCGATGTCGCCGATCGCATCTTTACGGGAAAACACTGTGTGTTCGAGACACGGAAAGATGATCTGCTCTTGTACCAGCGTACAAACCTCTATATATCCTCTCCTCTAGTACGTCCAAGTGCCCCTCCTCGTATTTCAAGGTGGTCTCGGTTGTTTGAGCTTAGGTCGCTGTTAGAAGGCGCGATGACAAGGACGTTGACAAGAACTGATGGGACACACCCGCGCATATGTGGAAACGATAGCCGTTCGCGGAATTTACATTCCGTTTCCTTCCGTCCGAGTGTACACACACCTTAGGTCGCTCTCGAGGTGTTGTTATGCAAAAGAAATTCCGAGATCCTGATGCTGCGTACTCGATCGTAAGTTGGAGCGTTCGGCACGAGCGAGCGATCGCGTTTAGAGTAAAAAGGGAAAAAGAAAGATTGTCACATCAAATCTGTATTTCGTATAGTCCTCTCTATTCCTCTCCCGCGTCTCCGCTGAACGTGATCTTATATAATTATCTCTATGCATAATCGTGACATTGTGATCACTATGTGATATCGTCACCTCTACGTCTTTACTTTACATTTACCGAGAGATCAGTCTCTCTTCATTAATTGACTGGCCTTCAGCGCTATGAAGTCTGTGCGGTTCCGACAGTGTATAGTTCCTGTACCGTAACGTTTTATTCTTTCTTCCCTACTTACAGATACAATTGCTTTTGCTATTCAACTTCAACGAGATCTTTATCCACCGATATCGAACTTATCGTTATACAAATTTTGTAATTAATGTAGGATCTACACGCGTCTCATTCTTCTTTCAAGCACGTCGGTGTTGCGCAAAGTGAGTACACGTTGTAGATGCAAAAGGCAGCCGGAACTTGCGCAACAGTCTAAATGGCGACAGACTCTCTCTTCCAGCAGTTCTTATCAGTGCCTGTACGTCTCACAATTTCGTATTGATATAGATACATTCTCGGCGCGGAGCAAACAACGCTTCCCTCCACGGCTCCAAAAAGCGGTCACGCGTCTTTCGAAACACCACTTCTCACTTCCACTGAACTGTTCTCTTCGACAATCTTCCGTCTCAACACACGACGCAATTTATCGCAAAAATATCGACGCGCGTTCGGTCGGAACGATAATGATACGTACTCGTTATTGCGTGTAACAAAGTGGCAAGTAACAAAAGAAATATAACGAATCACTTCCTTTGAACGTGATACTTTATACAGGTTTCTCGCTCTTTCCTCTCTCGTTTGCACGTTCGGACGATTCCTTGGATTCCTTGGATTTCGGCTGTCCCTCAGCCGGCAAGGCCGCAAAATTGATCGTAAGTAGTTCAAGATCGTGCGACTTGGATTACAAACAAGACGACGCGCGATGACCGTAGTCGATCGAGTTACATTATACCGATTAATAGAGTCGCGTGTCGTGAAGTCACGTGTGTAACGCACGTTTCTCCTCGCTCCCACGCATTGCATTGTACAATCGTGCGTGCTCTTCCGTTCCTCTTCCGTTGTGTGAACAACGCAGGGTGTTCGGCAGGACGCAAAATAACCCCGACAATTATTTCTCACATAAGTCTTCTTCCGCCAACGCTTAATATAATTCTCATAAATCTTATACAATACATTAAAAATCTCACTTCAATAAGTAATAAATTATTAAAGTATTCCAATCAGTATCTTATGATATCTTTATGACGAATTAAATAATCGCGCGATCGCATTATACTAATAATTCAATAGAATAATAAGTTTCCGTCGATTATTTATCAGTCATGAGCCTGAATTGAGCAAAGGATAGTGAAACTTTTGTGGATGAGTAACGGATAAGGGAAATCTGTTGTCGGTTTCTTTTTTCTTTTTACTTGGAAATCTATGTTCATTATTCCGCTGAGAATCTATAATTTCGTGAAAGCGTCATCGAGCTAGATTTCATCGTAATTGTTCCGAAATCGTTTAGTAGCGAAGAAGATTGACCCCATCTCATCATATTTTCGCATTTCGTAAACAAAAGCGCCCCTGAAGTTCCTACTTGAAACGCGATATGTACATAGAATGCTACAAAACTTACGTGTATAAACTTTTAAATCATATTAGGTATGTGAAAATATAAGAGATTTTCATAATGAGTGTTTACACGTCTGGAAGAACTTTCTTCTTCACTTACATAACATTAAAATCGAGCGATATCGTGAATCGACTCGATAAACGGTAAACAGTGCAATTTTTTTAATACTTTACGTAGTTGCAATTTTAGCCCAAAATTAAACAATGTTTAGTATTGGATGCGGTATGAGTACGAATCATCGTGTATTTCAATAATGATTTCATGCACTCTCGCGCAAGGATAAAAAGCTGGTGCGCATGTTCCCTTCGAACATGTTTGTACTAAAGGAGAAATATTACAATCGTATATTACGAGCTACACAAAAGTGTAAATTGGTAATACTGAAGAGTACATCCTAGTCTAATATTCCTTCACATGGCCAATTGAATGCTACGCTATTGTCAAAATTCCAATAGTAAAAACACATATTGTTCGTGTGATTAGTAAAGAAATAAACGTGAATTATCATCTTTACTGAATTTGGAATTGATAGATAATTTGTGCGAAAAGTGCAGAATATTAATACAGCGTTAACTTGTTACCCGATTTAATTTGTTTATTTATTAAAGCTCTCTAATTCGCCACTGCAGTCATATTAGATGTAATCAGCGAGAAATTATACAAAACTCTCCCTCTGTTACATGTTGAAATAAATTCGCTTTGTCGTTATTAGTAACAAAAGTTTATTCATCTCAATGTATACTGTGACAATAAATCACATTACGAATAATCACTTATGTCTTTGCCGCATTATTAATCTAACGAGGCTGCAGCGACGAACTTGGAGATTTAAGATTTTTGAGATATCTTTAATTCACGTGGGAAGTGAAAATTTTAATCGCGATTTTTTGAAAAATTAGATATGTCGCTCATCGTGCGTAATGTTGCTAGAGACAATACAACGGTATCTGTTTTAATATACTTACTAATTCGAATTTGAAAATATGCTGAAGTAATTAATTGTCATTTAAAAGTTATCAAAAGTTATAAAGTTGTATCAATATTGTTGAAACGTAAATTTTGATCATTCTTCTCAACTGATTGATACGTAACATATCGCCTCAGCAACATTGATCATACGTAGCGTATTTTGTAGGTACAACACGACATATGACTATTTTTTTTCATACAAACGTTAGTCTACCTGAAGAAAAAAACATATAGTTACGCGTTTAGATACTAAATAGTAGTGTCGTGTGCAAGTTTAAGTAATTCCACTGTGTGTAGATTTGCTTCCTGTTCGTAGTTATGTTTCTCTATAGAACGTCTCGTAAATATTCGACACTATTCGCAGTTACGTGTAATTAAGTTATGAGTATTAGTTTACTCGATGAACAACACACAATGGCTTCAGTAGATGCTTTCCAGACTGGCCCAAATCTCGAAAGCCAGATTGTCTTCTAGCACAAAAGGAAAAAGACCCCAACTAGGCTGGACGTTGATTAGTATTAAGATGTCGAAGCGTCATAAGTCTGGAAATCTGCAAAGCGATTGCTGAGAATTAGTACGGATGTTATGTATAGTGTAAATGTTGATAAATGACACGGAAAACATTTATGCGAACAAATACATATGCAAAATATGAAATGACATTAATTGACTTTATACCAGAGTTTAAAATAATAAAGTTATTGTCGATTTCGTATTTGACTTATTTTTAAGTGCGATTCAATCTAAATTATATGATATAATGGATTACCAACGCGCTTTGCAAAAGTGAAAGCTTTGCCAACAAAACTATTTATACAGAACATGCAATTGTTAGAAAAATCCATTACAGGAATGTATCAGTGTACATCTGAGAAAATGATATGCTATTAAACTGCATGTTAGATGATTTGCTATTAAAATATACATTCACAAAATTTATATGCCAATATATCGACAATTATAGAAACATTTTATTATATATTACCGATAATTTAAGTATATAATTTATACAAAGTTAACATAATTTTATCAATGAGATAGAAACTTTGCTGAAACAAAAATTTATGAGAGAAAGAGAAAGAGAAGGAAGGGGGAGAAGATAGAATTTAATATCAAAATATTCTCTATCTTGAAGTTTATCCTCAAACGGATGACGCGGTATGAAGAACCTTCATCATAGTCATGTACGCACCATAATCACTGAAATGTATTATTGTACCTCATTAAGATTGAGATAATATATATGCGGAATGTTTGGACGTATTAATCCTGATTAAGTAGATGTCATATTCTTGAAACACACAAAATAATACAAAAAATGTCTTTTATTGTTAAGCTCTTTCTTCTATAGATACGTGTATATATCGGAATATGTAGAAAGTCTTCTCGGAAATATTGAATTTGTAACAAATTCTTTAAGGACAGACACTCGCACTAGCATCACTTATACTTGTTTGTAAATTTATTTTTCCGATTTTTTAAGACTTTCTAAATTACGTATAGATATAATAATGTCATATAAAAATTGTTGCTTTCCAATCTGCCATGACGTTTTACACAAACCGATAAAATAATATGACACACGATCTATTGTATCAAATGTAAACTCACCTCATTGGGTCTTCCTCGTAATCTTCTGGTATCTTGAACAGTTCCGGATCTATGTCATTGCGAAAGGCGAACTCTTGAAAAGTTATTTTAGCAGTGACTGTAGGTAATATCGGTATGTCGATCTTAACCGGAAACCCAGGAGGCAACTTCATGAGCACAAATTGCCGTAATTTGTTCAGATGCTTAAACGGCGCGATCACTTCCAAAACATTGAGTAACATATCGACAGTGAGAGGGAAGTCCAAACTCATCGCCACGGTAGCTTTGAATGATTTACTACTTTCTTTATACACAAGGTTTCTACCTAGAAGTGGACACTTCCCAGGAGGAGCAGTGATATATTCCTCCCATGTTATGTTCGATTCTGGTGGTGGGTTCAACGACGCTCTTCTCGTAGGAGGCTAAATGTACAAACAATAAATAAATTAAATGTATTATAGATTTTCCATTTTGGAATTGATTCCTTTAAACAGAAAACTACTAAAGTTCTACTTCTACAAGCAACAATTTAAATAATTACATAATGTGTCTTAGATAATATATTTTAGTTACTCAGACACATATTGATTTTTAATCGTTTGTAATTGTTTTTTGTTACAATTAGAATCTCACCTCGTCGTCATCTGTAAGCGTTTGAGAATTGCCCTTAGTAAGTGACTCCAAAATGGCCTTATTTTTTTGGAGGTCTTCCGCACTTAAATGTTCACGACGTTTTCTACTTTCAAACACCATGCCATTAATTTGGTAAAAATCGGCATGGAAAGGACCCACCATTTCCTTAATTTTAAATATTTACACATGTTTAAATATATATCTTATAAGCTTAATGTATATATTAAGTGCCGAATGCTAATTATAGCTATCTTAACTAACTTATGTATAAATGTAATCACCGTCTTATCTTCCCTAAAAATCCATCCTGTTTGTGCTCTAGAGAATGTAACACCTTTGGTAGATATTTGGGCTGCCATAATATCACTAGACATAAGAATATCAACTTCATCTTCTATATCAATTTCTGTCTCCTGAAATATACCAATTAAACATTTATTTTAATATGAGCAAGCAAACTATATATGTATATATTTATATATGTGGATCGTCTTGATGCATGAAAGTTCCGTTTTTTCATTGAAACTAATATACAAAGCCGATAAATATTAATATATAAAACTGATAAATATTAACTTAAATGTAATTATAATAGTTTATAATAATTTTAATTAATAGTTTATGATAGTTTTACTATGTATCATATACAAGTATCTAACATTATAAAAGAACATCATGAAGAAGACAAGTAAATTAAGGAAAACTTTTTACCTCGTAGCTCACTCTTTGGAAAATTTTAGCTGTATTGTCGAGGATAGTTAATGATTCGTTGGGCTTTTGATCGCCATTGAAGATGAAAGATATGTCACCTCTTTCCCATCTCATATCATTAAAGTCTACAAGAGTCGTGTCCATCCTAATAGAAGCTCCACTTTTATGTATTTTACATATATCTGATGGCAACACCCTCGAGACTAATGGTACTAAAAGAAATATTAACTTACTATTAGCCTGCAGGCAAGACAAAAATTTATACAGATATTACAGTTAAAAAGAGAGATCTGGAAAAATAGCAATTTGAATTTGATTTGAATTTGAGTTTTGGTCGATTGAGACGAGTTTAGCATATAAATAAAAGTTATCTTATCTTCTTAAAGGAAAAAAAGAAAAAAAACAAGAGTATATGAAAAACTTACACCAGCTCTGAAAGTCCCATTTTAATTCCATATAAAAATCACCTATTTGATGCAGTGCACTAACTATATCCGGTGTCCGGTCTTCCATATCCTCTTTAGTTCGTTCCTTCAGCTTGCGTACTAAAGATGATACTATAAAAAATTCAAACATCAATTTTGAAAATTTTGGTTTCATAATTGTTATTTATTATTAGGTTGTATCACTTCTATTATATTACTTTGCTTCCAATTCTTTATTATTTATAGATTAAAAGTAATGTTTTATATTTTATCAGGATTTATATTTTACCAAAATAATTAACCTTTGATAATTGATTTAATATAAGCGAAATAACATAAATTTCAAAAGCAAAATATGCTATATATATATATATAAATCATAGTTTTATCTTATACTAACTAGTTTGTCTATCTCCGTAACTGATTGCTTCAGCCAATGCACTCCAACCAGCTAGATTCTTCACTTTTATAGGTGTATCATATTTAAGCAATAATTGAACACATTCTATAAAACAAAGCAAAATATAATACATTTATATGTATACAATTCTTAATCCAATTCTTTAGTTTTTAATTATATATCTCAGAGCTTTATTACTATAATCTTTTTTTAACGATATAACTCTATATAAAATGAATGATTATTACAATATTGTTAGTTTTTTATATGTAATTGACACATTAATGCGGCTAAATCTGACATAAAAATATTCATACCTTTTCGTCCTAACATTACAGCTAAATGCAAAGGTGTGTTCCCTGAAGCAAAAACATAAAGAAGTTAAAAATAAATTTCTTCCATAACTTTATGTTAAAAAATTCTCTTTGCTGGTATTGTATACTTAAGTATTAACAAAGACTAAGAGATATATTTGTGACTATATTCCAACATTGAAGCAAACCTTGTTTATCTTTCTCGGCAACATCATGGGTCTCAAGCAACGAACTCAGCATCTTAACATCACCTTGAAATATGCATCTATGTAATGGATACCTCTCGCCTTTCTTCTCTGCCATGATCATTGGCATTTGACCAATCATACGTTATAATAGCAAGGAAATTGAACACACAATTTGGTGCTTCCTGTTGCAGCACGTTTCAATTGTGACACAGATGCAAATCATTATATCTGCTGATATTCTGCTTAGGAATATCACAGGACGCCGCACGTGTCTCACTCTTTAGCGAGATAGTGACTCAACGTATCATCTGGCATCATCGCTCGATTTTCACATCTCTTTTTTTATAGTCTTATTTATCTTTACTTCTATGCTTTGTTGCGTTAAGTAATGTTATTTGTTAGGCTTAGACAAAATTGCTATTCCTGTGGAACTGTTGTTCACCGTTGTGCCTGCAGATGCATATGAACCTCATGTCTGATGATACGTGCTTTGAAGGATGAATTGCCCACTGAGAAAAGTATCAATCGTATTTGAATAATATTAATTCGTAATGACGAACAATCGATGATGGATCATGGTTTACCGTCAACCGTTGCGAAATTTGTATATTTATTTTCACGTAAATGCAACATCAGCAACATTACTGACTCTCTCTCGTAGAGTTGGAGCACTTTGCACGCTTGAACTGCACTCTTCTACACTACTTGTTACTTTTACTTTCATGTGAGTGGTCTCTACATCGCTAGATGTCGCTAGTCATCATATTAATCCTCTGCGGGATTTGATTCCAATGGATTTAAATCTTTGCGCTGTAATGTATAAAAAAATCTCATTCAATATTACGTTTGAGTGATTTTATGTCATATAAAAGATTTTAATTTGCTAAAAGATAAATTAAAGACATTTATTCACATTTGTGAATAATAATAGACAAATTTATTTATTGTAGATGTGTTTATTTATTTGAATAATTAGCTACAGAGGAATCCTTGAAAATGAATTACCCAACTAGAACACAGAAGTCAAGATATCAAAATTAAGTCAATATGGCTTTATCAGTTTCTTAAGTTTCACTGATAAGAAATGACGCAAAAATGATATAAAAATGATAAAAGTACTTACGAGGATAGTCTCAGAAGTACCTGACCTGACGTATAGATAGCGATTGTTGTTTGAAAAGAATGATTATGGTAGAAAGTACCAACCTTATAAAGCTTATAAGTTTGAAGTTTGACGACGCTGCATTGTTTAGTGTTTGTTTGGCAGCCATCAATAGTGAATGCTCTCAGTGAATTTGTAAACATGGAAAAAATTGGCCATCGTTATGTGATACAATATTTTCATTTGAAAGGCCTCAGTCCAACCAATATCAAAGTGGAGCTAGATTCTATTCTGGGGGAGTCTGCTCCTTCGTTTACAACAGTAAAATATTGGGTGGCAGAGTTTAAACGAGGCCGTACGGCCTGCCAAGACGAACATCGCAGTGGTTGACCAAATGAGGTGACCACGCCAGAAATGGTGAAGAAAATTCACAAAATGGTATTGGATGACCATCAACTGAAAGTGCGCGAGTTAGCAGACATAGTAGGCATCTCAAAAAGTGCTGTACATCGCATATTGACTGAAAATTTGGACATGAGAAAGCTGAGTGCGCAAGATGGGCGCTGCGATTGGAACAAAAACAGCGTCGTGAGGTTGTTTCAATCGATTGTTTGGCGAAGTTTCGCAGCAATAAAGCCGAGTTTTTGCGTCGATTCATAACCATGGATGAAACATGGGTCCATCACTTCACACCTGAGACGAAGGAACAGTCAAAACAATGGACCAAGGTGGCTTGATGGCTATTTTGAGGAGCTCGACGATTCCCACTATAAACAGGGTGTCGAACAGGGTATTGAACATCGCTGGGAAAAGTGTATTGAGCTATGAGGAGACTATGTAGAGAAATAAAGATATTTTTTCCCAAATTTTTGGTGTTTTCTTTGTTGGGTCAGGTACTTCTGGGACTACCCTCGTGTATGCTATATAATAATTATATACGCCTTAAAAGTATCACTTTAGTTCTTGAAACATTTATATCGCTTGAATATATTGTTACAGTTGTATAAATAATAGAATAAAGAAATATAAATAACATGTGAAAAAGATGATGTCATTGGTCGCGTTCAGTAGAAAAAGTGATCAATGATCTATTAGTGAGCAATCAACGGTTATTGACCATTTCTGTCAGATCTAATAATAATAGTCAATACCCAGGTAGAACAAAAAATCATAATAATATAATTATGATATAAACAAAAAGTCATTTTAAGACAAATCAGGATGATGTCATTCGATATAGTTTTCGAGATGGTTTGGTGATGTTTTTTTGATATTGAAATGATGTTATGATGACTTTTAGAACTGTACATTAAAATAGAAAGTCACAATAACATCAAAGCGATATCAAAATGACAAGAAAATGATCTCATCATGATTACAAAGTGAGTTTTTACAGTCTTTTGTTACTCATTTTGAAGTCATTGTGATTTTTTATTTAAATGATAAATAGCTTATATCCATACATATACAATGTCCGAAAAACATTTTAGAGATATCATATTTCTAAAATGTTTTTTGAACATGTATATGTATTTGTGTATGTAAGGATAAGAAATATAGGGTAAAAAATGTTAATGTGAATATTTGGGTTATTTTGAGAGTTTTCTTGGGTGTTATTTTGAGGGTTTTCGTTGAGTGTTAATCTTCCTTTGGGTGTAACCTTCAATTGACGATCCGAAATCACACCCAATTTGAGTGTTTTTTCGGTGTGTAACATCCAAAATAGAGCGTTTATTCGATGTAAAACACTCAAAATTGAGCGTTTTTTATCGGTGTTTAACACCAAAGTTAAGCGTTTTTTGAGTGTTAACACCCAAAATTGAGGGTTTTTTTTTCATAAGGGCTAATATACATATATGTTATATGAACAATTTTTTGTATGAAAATCTACAGTTTACGTTACACATAAGATTCCTGAGGATAATAACGTCATCAAACCTCAAAGATTCTTAAAAATATCGCGTATGTTATTTTACGAATGTCACTAGAATATTACGATAAACGAAATTCCAAGATTTAGTCACAATGTCATCATCTTTCTTACATATTACTTATATTTGTTTATTCTATTGTTAACACAACTGTAACGATATAGTCGAACGATATAAATATTCCAGAAACTAAAGTGATTATTTTAAAGTGTTTATATTATATTTATAATGCAACATATATATACTTTTGCCATTATTGTTGTGTCACTTATTGTCAGTGACGTTTAAGTGACAAATAAAGTCATATTGACATCATTATGATATCATTATGACTTCTATGTTCTACTTGGGGGTATATATAATAATAATAAATAATAAATAATAATTGATCACGTGAGTTTTATACGATGCAATTCCACAAAGAATGAGGTTTAATCTTTTGTGTACAATATCAGAGACAGGTTCACGCAGAGATAAAAGATCATTAAATCTGATAATCGATAATCAGTACAATTAATTTATCAAATTGCTGTTAAGTTTAATTTACTAATTGGCAAATTTAACTGAAAAAACAAAGACAGAGAGAATATGATGCAACAAAGGATACTTTTTACTTAAATTAATATGTTATATAATTTTGGTAAAAAATACGAACGACAAAACTTGTGAATTGCAAGATGTGTGTCGAATGCAGTGTCAGCGTTCAATATAAGTGGTTCGCCTTCACATCGATTCCTGTTTCACGATTAAAATTTTCCAGTGACAGTAAGGAAATGCTAATTACATATACATACATACACATTTACGAACCTGTTGGTAACTAAGGTTAAATTACAGGTTTGAAAGTCATCCGTTTTTATAAATATTTTTATGTATAATATCAATTTATGTAACGATTGTAACTGTTAAATTAAAATGATTAATTAAATTAAAATCGTCGGTATATATGAAGCTTACTTGTTACATCCCTATAGCTATTATGGTTATAAGTGTGTACGTTATGAAAATTACAAGGTAGATTCTAATAAAAATAATCAATTGTGAAATAAATAAATCCTATTTAATACGTGCTCAATTTTCAATATATTTTTTGGAGCGCAAAGAAGAATTGGTTCCACAAAAAATAATAAAATAAGATGGAAATCATGTTGATAACAACAAAAATTATTAGCTTATATCCATACATATACAATGTCCGAAAAACATTTTAGAGATATCATATTTCTAAAATGTTTTTTGTGTATGTAAGGATAAGAAATATAGGGTAAAAAATGTTAATCTGAATATTTTGGTGTTATTTTGAGAGTTTTCTTGGGTGTTATTTTGAGGGTTTTCGTTGAGCGTTAACCTTCCTTTGGGTGTAACCTTCAATTGACGATCCGAAATCACACCCAATTTGAGTGTTTTTTCGGTGTGTAACACTCAAAATAGAGCGTTTATTCGATGTATAACACTCAAAATTGAGCGTTTTTTATCGGTGTTTAACACCAAAGTTAAGCGTTTTTGAGTGTTAACACCCAAAATTGAGAGTTTTTTTTTCATAAGGGCTAATATACATATATGTTATATGAACAATCTTTTGCACGAAAACAGTTTACGTTACACATAAGATTCCTGAGGATAATAACGTCATCAAACCTCAAAGATTCTTAAAAATATGGCGTATGTTATTTTACGAATGTCACTAGAATATTACGATAAACGAAATTCCAAGATTTGGTCACAATGTCATCATCTTTCTTACATATTACTTATATTTGTTTATTCTATTGTTAACACAACTGTAACGATATAGTCGAACGATATAAATATTTCAGAAACTAAAGTGATTATTTTAAAGTGTTTATATTTATAATGTAACATATATATACTTTTGCCATTTTTATATTATTTTTGTGTCATTTATTATCAGTGACGTTTAAGTGACAAATAAAGTCATATTGACATCATTGTGATATCATTATGACTTCTATGTTTTACCTGGGCGAGCAGAACAGAAAATCACGATGACATCAAAATGACATCAAAATGACGAGAAAATGACTGAGTCATGATAAAAATGACTTTTTCTTATCATTTTGACGTCATTTTAATGTCATCATGATTTTCTGTTCTGCCTGGGACTAAAGTTCTTATTCTTCGGCAGCTTCGAGGTTCCGAAGCTTCGAAGTCAACTTCAAAACTTCGAAGTTTTTTATGCCGAAACTTCGAAGACTAGTCTTCGAAAATATCAATCATTCTTCGAAGCTTCGATATATTCGAAGCTTCGAAGAATACGGGACAGTTGTTTCCGAGCCTGCGTTCTTTGTTTCTCCATGCACGCACTGCATGCTAGACCATCTTAGTCATATATTCTTAGTCATACATTCCGTAAATAACAAAAGTATAGGCTCGTAGTTCGATTCCCGGACACCTCCGAATTCTCGACATTTCGAAGTTCGAAGACTAAAACTTCGAAGGTTCGATGCTTCGAAGCTTCGAAATTTCGTTCGTCGAATATTTTGTATCGAAGCTTCGAATACGAAGACTTCGAAGAAAAATTACACCTCTGCCTGGGACGGCAAAAAGATATCAGGTTGCTATTTGAGCCTCTCTTATCACACTTACCAAGCAGCATTTAACGATTTCGATATAACTATGTCCTTCGCGAGTATACTTTCCGCTGTGCGGATATTCGAGTCGCGAATAAGGTTCTACCTCAGGTGGAATAGAAAATCACCATGACATCAAAATGACATCAAAATTACGAGAAAATGACTGAAACATAATGAAAAAACGAGTTTTTCTTATCATTTTGACGTCATTCTGATGTCATCATGATTTTCTGTTCTGCCTGGGACTGTACGGGCCAGTAACGCAAACGTACATTTTATCGCGGAATGAGCATAACATTTGATATTCGATAAAATAATGTAAATTACAAGTAAGTTGTCCGTAAGGGATGAGATATTACAATGTAATGCATTTTAAAATATTATATTTAGATTTAAAAAATTGTTTATAGCAATATAATTCTGTATGAGAAGTTTGAAAACAAGAGGATATATGTACATATAAACTTACATCACAGGATTTATAACGGTAATGGGTTTGTCGTTGTTTATCATTTTTACAACAAATAATGCACTTTCTTATTGCGCTCTTTCGTTTTGTATTACTACTAATGCAAATGGATGGGAAAAGTCTTGCAACAAGTCTAAGTGGATTCTTACATCACGTGCAAAAAAGGGCCACTTTTTAACATAGTTTTCTAATATCTTTCTAATAGCTTTCAATAGCGATAATTTAACCAAAAATCATAGTATTGAGATGAAACAAAGCTCAAATTAAAACTTGGACATTTCTTGTCAACAATCAGAAACTTAAAAGTGAATTATAATAAATGTTTTACAAAACTGCGGATGTTGAAGATAGACTTCGATTAATGGGAAAAAAAATGCGTTTTTTAATTGTTGCACTGCTCAGGAGAATCGGTTCTCTAGTACAAAAATGTAAGAGATTTAAAGCTCATTAATTTCCTAACAAATCCATATTTTAATAATTTTTTACGACTTTTTTTGATAAAGTTATACTGTTTTAATACGATGATTTTTGGCTGAGCTATCGTTATTGAAAGATGTTAGAAAACTGTGCTAAAATTTAGTGGCCCGTTTTTTTGCGGGTGAATATAAATTAACAATTAGTGATTTTGCCAAAATTTTCTTCATGACATTCTTTTAAAATTTACCTGATTAGTTCTAAATGGAAATACGCGATCGAAATGTTTTTCCTTATTTTATGTTTATATAAGCAATACGCAAACATAAACACGTCCATATAACATATGAAAAAAATATTTCTTGTACCACTTAATTGTTTTTCTTGTACATTCAATTGTACTTATGATCATATTGCTCTTGTCAACAATTCCTATTGAAAAATTATAATCAACCACGCAAGCTGTTTTACGGATAATTTGTGTTTGGTGATGCTTTTTCTTTGTATCGATAAAGTCAGTACTGTGAAGATTAATCAGATTAAACTGAGAAGAAAAGTCAAGTACCATATTGCAAAAATTGAGATAGTTATTAACTTATTAATAATTGAAAATATGATAACCATATTTACAGACTCTTTTAATTGAAAATAACTTGAAAATTTAGGTATTTATTTTCAAAATGGTAAAGGACTTTTTTGTTCAGAATGACCCAATCTACAATTATATGACGGCTATTGTATCTAGCGATAGATATGAGTATATTGAACTTTGAACCCTGAATCTTGAATCTGTCGCTAGCCGTCATATAATTGTAGAGATTAAGGGCGCGATTACGATGAACTTTACATAACGGGACGCGACGGGACGTGAAGTGACGTGACGTGAATTTGACGTTTGAAGTTATATTATTGTGAGAGATATTTTTCGAAGAAGAATTCAGTTTGGCTACGGGCATAACCTGAACTGGAAGAACTCCGTTTTTGAAAGTGTCACATGAACAGTCCGACTGACGGAACGTGACATCTAAACTTGACATTGGCAAGCTTCACGTTGCGTCAAGTTCCGATATTTTACGTCACGTTACGTAAAGTCGACCGTATTATTTTGTTACATCACAACAATGTGACAGTTGTATTATTGTGTTTACTGAGCATTTGTTACGTTATATCGTTATAAATCGTTTCGAATGTGATATTAACAATAAATATTAAACGCGTAAATAACGTGTATTAAATATATATACAGATCAAATGTATGTGTATGTGTGTGTGTGTGTGTGATCAGTTGATTTGTGGCTTTCATTGTAAAAAACATAGGACATTGGAAACATCCGGTATTCGAGAAATTTGAATGGGCTGCTGTTTCGTTCACTTTTACCAACAGTCGCCAATTCAATAGTGGTGGTTATATCGGTGTAAGTAGCGCAAGTATAATTATATTATAAATTAGTCATGAAGCTATAATTAGTGGCGGAAACACTTGTTGCAACACTTTTCTTTCAAGAAATTTTATATTTCAGAATTAATCAATTTTCTTTCCTTGAGTTTCCTGATAAATTGAAAAGAGCAAACTTGTATAATCAATTAGATATAATCAAAAGAATAAAATTATAAAAGATGTAAATATATATTTTTTATAATCGATTATTTGAATGTCCATTGTTTTTATTAGTATTGTTCATAATATTGTTCGTTTGCAAGCGTTTACAGAGTAAACAGAATAGATGATAAGAGAAATGTATCAAATAATTAAATCTACTTGGTCAACGAATCTCTTGGCATCGCTTTAAATTTATAATCATGGAAGCAGTGAATCGGCCATCTTGCGACATCGAATAGCGAATGTTTAGTATATGGGTACTGAGGCATTTTACTCGACCCTGAGAATTCAGGCACAACACCTTAATATACCGGTGCGAGTTTCTGCGTTTATATATATATCTGAGCGATGTAGCTTGTTATTCACAGTTTCAGCTTAATCGCTGTGTGCAACGGTTAACATTCCTCTCAAGGTGTATGGTCTTCGCTCACATATCATTTATATCTGTAAGAATATTTAAAAGTAATCGTTCAATCATAAATTACGAATTAATTTATTTTTCAACGTTTTTCCATTTTCTCATTATGTATTTGAGCTCCCTACTTAAGTGAATTTATTCGTAAATGCAGCAATAGAAAAGAAATGAATGCAAAATGTATAAATGTGGATGAGAAATTGAAGTAAAATTTATACATTCCTTTTTTATATTTTTTAAATTTATTTCTACAATTTGATGTCAAAATATTGATTATTTGCTTTTTTTAATAAAAACAAAATAATAAGCAATAAAATGAAGCTGATAAATATGAATCCCATGATCATTAAAAATTTTCTTAAATAATGTAATCACATCTTTTTGCAGATCCGAAAATCAAATTTTTAAGGAAATGTCAAAAAATCATTTTAAGAAATTACTTTCAGTGTTTATCATTCATACTTTTCCGCTTATAGGATCTTTCTGCGTGCTAACTGTAAAATAATTTATAAGATATTGTCGTATAATTATGTCAACACATTTCACGTATATTTCACATAACAGATGCATACGATAATCCTTTTAACGTTGGCATATTACCATATTACAGTTTGCTTGATAAAAGTGTGTCTGGTAAAACTTTTGCACAGAAACCGTTAAACGGGAAATTCCAACACACAGAGACAACTTGAGCCGAAATAGTCAAATTTATGAGAGGACTTTATTACTACCTGCTCAAAAGTGATTTGAAAGGAAAAACGAGAAAAGACTATTACAAAAAGGCAATGACCCAAAACATTGGAATTTCTACCGTTTTTTTTTTACCGTGCGGAAATAAGAAAACGACACTGACATATTGGATTGGCCATCATAAACATCGGATGTAAATTCTATCGAAAACATTTGGGTATTCATGAAGGTCAAGTTTCGTGTGTGGAAAGAGAATTTAGAAGGTCGAGAAGTTAGTTTCACGAATTTGATTGATTTTCTGGAGATCTTTATCTCAAGAATATGTCACAAAGTTAGTAGAAAGATGCCACGCAATTATTGATAATGGGCAACTGGATAAATTATTAATGAAAACATCACACAGTTCTAATCAAGCAGTATATGTATATTTTGTCCAAGTCAGTGCAATAAAATATTTTCGAATTATGCTAAACATGTTCTTATCAAATAGGCATGGCTCAGGAAGAACAAAAAATCATAATAATATAATTATGATATCAACAAAAAGTCATTTTAAGACAAATCAGGATGATGTCATTCGATATAGTTTTCGTGATAGTTTGGTGATGTTTTTTTGATATTGAAATGATATTATGATGACTTTTAGAACTGCACATTAAAATAGAAAGTCACAATAACATCAAAGTGATGTCAAAATGACAAGAAAATGATCTCATCATGATTACAAAGTGAGTTTTTACAGTCTTTTGTTACTCATTTTGAAGTCATTGTGATTTTTTATTTAAATGATAATATAGCTTATATCCATACATATACAATGTCCGAAAAACATTTTAGAGATATCATATTTCTAAAATGTTTTTTGAACATGTATATGTATTTGTGTATGTAAGGATAAGAAATATAGGGTAAAAAATGTTAATGTGAATATTTGGGTGTTATTTTGAGAGTTTTCTTGGGTGTTATTTTGAGGGTTTTCGTTGAGCATTAACCTTCCTTTGGGTGTAACCTTCAATTGACGATCCGAAATCACACCCAATTTGAATGTTTTTTCGGTGTGTAACACCCAAAATAGAGCGTTTATTCGATGTATAACACTCAAAATTGAGCGTTTTTTATCGGTGCTTATCACCAAAGTTAAGCGTTTTTTGAGTGTTAACACCCAAAATTGAGGGTTTTTTTTTTCATAAGGGCTAATATACATATATGTTATATGAACAATTTTTTGCATGAAAATCTACAGTTTACGTTACACATAAGATTCCTGAGGATAATAACGTCATCAAACCTCAAAGATTCTTAAAAATATCGCGTATGTTATTTTACGAATGTCACTAGAATATTACGATAAACGAAATTCCAAGATTTAGTCACAATGTCATCATCTTTCTTACATATTACTTATATTTGTTTATTCTATTGTTAACACAACTGTAACGATATAGTCGAACGATATAAATATTCCAGAAACTAAAGTGATTATTTTAAAGTGTTTATATTATATTTATAATGCAACATATATATACTTTTGCCATTTTTATATTATTGTTGTGTCACTTATTGTCAGTGACGTTTAAGTGACACAGTAAATAAAGTCATATTGACATCATTATGATATCATTATGACTTCTATGTTCTACCTGGGGGTAGAATATATAATAATAATAAATAATAAATAATAATTGATCACGTGCGTTTTATACGATGCAATTCCACAAAGAATGAGGTTTAATCTTTTGTGTACAATATCAGAGACAGGTTCACGCAGAGATAAAAGATCATTAAATCTGATAATCGATAATCAGTACAATTAATTTATCAAATTGCTGTTAAGTTTAATTTACTAATTGGCAAATTTAACTGAAAAAACAAAGACAGAGAGAATATGATGCAACAAAGGATACTTTTTACTTAAATTAATATGTTATATAATTTTGGTAAAAAACACGAACGACAAAACTTGTGAATTGCAAGATGTGTGGCGAATGCAGTGTCAGCGTTCAATATAATGGTTCGCCTTCACATCGATTCCTGTTTCACGATTTAAATTTTCCAGTGACACAGTAAGGAAATGCTAATTACATATACATACATACACATATTACGAACTGGTTGGTAACTAAGGTTAAATTACAGGTTTGAAAGTGATCCGTTTTTATAAATATTTTTATGTATAATATCAATTTATGTAACGATTGTAACTGTTAAATTAAAATGATTAATTAAATTAAAATCATATCGGTATATATGAAGCTTACTTGTTACATCCCTATAGCCATTATGGTTATAAGTGTGTACGTTATGAAAATTACAAGGTAGATTCTAATAAAAATAATCAATTGTCAAATAAATAAATCCTATTTAATACGCGCTCAATTTTCAATATATTTTTTGGAGCGCAAAGAAGAATTGGTTCCACAAAAAATAATAAAATAAGATGGAAATCATGTTGATAACAACAAAAATTATATTTGTGTTCCACTGTGCAGTTTAGAGAGCCGATAAAATGATGAGGACAAGTATAAAGCTTGCAATAATACTTGTTTTGGCGTTGTTGAATGCAGAATTGATATTATCCAACGGCGAATTATTTCCACGAGCATTTGTTAATTTCTTGTTTCCTAAGGATCTTAATCTAGTGAGAGTGAGGGCTTTGGATGAAGTTAATAGAGGAAAAGACGTGAAAATACTGGACTTCGTAAGTAAGAGACGATGAGCTTCTTTCCCGCCGAACTTTTCGCCTCGTAGAACAATCTCGTTAATGACGGCGGTTAATTAGAAAAAAACTTTTCTTTCAGACGGAAGAATTTTGTCGACACGACAAACGCATTTTGCATTATTGTGTAGTATTAATTGAAAATAAGCACGCGGAGACAAATTTGTTTATGAAAAGAGGTTTATGAAAAGAGAGGGAGTATGTTGCAACTTCTTTCTGATAATATTCCATTGTAACTTTATGTTTACACAGATCGGTTTGGTCACGAGACATGGTTATCCCGCCGAGGAACATAATGTTATAACAGAGGACGGTTACAACTTAAAGATACATAGAATACCCGACAGTCCGCTGTCTAACAACAAAAAGAACAAGAAAGTAGTGTTCCTTCAACATGGTATTATATCTTCATCTGATAGTTGGGTGCTATTTGGTCCTGGCAAAGACCTCGGTAAGTGGTAGTCATTGAAGCTAAAAATATTTATGCAAGGACATGGCTGGATATGTTAATTAAATACGAAATAAGCTGCTTCATGGTCCGACAATGTATTGTCTGTTGTCGATAAGTCTAACGTCTTTGGCAAAGAGTTGCTAATTTCGATATTTATGAGAATTATTAGAAAGTTATCTTCAAATTGCTGATAAGTGACCACTTGATCGCTTGTGTATATTTCGTTTTAGCTCTATAACTTCTCTCTGAATTTATTCTCTCTATTAAATGGATACGATGAAAACCGCATCTTTGACGATTCTTATTAATTTCTGCGTAAGATATGAGTGATATCTGACAAATAGTAAATGTATCCACATTAGACAGTCATATAATGGTATAATATAAAAAAAAGATACGTCAAAAATAGACATTTATTTATCGCATCTTTAATGACTTATTATTTAATTGAGGTTTTGAATATTTAACCGCAATGGCCGCGGAAAATAAAACCTGTTGCACTACTTTGATAATTAATCTCTGCCATCCTTTGTTTTGTTCTTTATCCTTGTTCTTAAAATTTATTAAAACATTCAGAAATATCCATTTTTTAATTACTTATAAATCAAACAGTATTTATTCTCCGAGTTGAAGAGAACCGGTTGCGGCCAATGTTTAGCTTGATTCTGCTGATTAATTTCAGTTGATATGATAAGTTTAATTCTTTTAAGACGGTTACTGTGTTTTCTCCATGGTAATCAATATAATTATAATATATTATACAATTTCGCGGTTGAAAAATTATATTTAATTCTGTCTTCCTGAATTACTAATGGTATAATAAATATATTGGACATACGGTGTGTTGCAGTATTTCTTTTAGCTGATCAAGGCTACGATGTGTGGCTTGGAAATGTCAGAGGAAGCACCTATTCCAGATCGCACGTGAAAATGTCTCCTCGAAATAAAGATTTCTGGCAATTTAGGTAGAATACCGCGAAAATATAAGAGTTTGAAGAAATGTTTGATATTTTTCCAAAATAACCACGAAAGAAAACAAAAAAAATATATATATATATGTGATATACATATATATTTAGTGATAGAATTACCTTGTTACATTCTGCTAAAAGAATGCAAAAATATAATATTTATTTATAAAAATAATATTTATTTGTATTGTCTAGTTATCACGAAGTTGGAACGATCGATTTACCAAATATGATCGATTACGTACTTACTTACACCGGACAGGGAACTCTGTCCTATATTGGTCATTCGATGGGAACTACCGTACTGTTTGTTCTTCTGTCCACGAGGCCTGAATATAACGCAAAGATAAGTTTGGGAATATGCCTCGCTCCAATTGCTTTCTGGAATGAAGTGCCTCCTGTAATAAACACATTTATAGCTCAAATACCAATATTGATGGTAACAATCACAAACGCATTTTTATTATATTTTTTTATTATATTTTATATTATCATGGTTTGTGTACGTTAAATCGACATACTTCTTTAGAGCCTGGAACTAATGTATTTTATCAAGAATTATTTTATTCTGAAATTTTTACGCTTTTTTATATTTACTTGTCAGGAATTCTTTGACAAAAATGAAGTGTATGAAGTGACGCCTTTAGAATCAAGAAGTATTGCAACGAGAAAGTTACTGTGTGCAGAATACGCGAAAACTCAGGCCTTTTGTATTGCGATATTGTTCATGCTTGCAGGATCCGATCCGCTGCAAATAAATACCGTAAGTTACATTATCATGACTTGACATGATATCATTTCTGGACGCATCCGTTTGTACAGCTACATCATCTTGCAAGTATCCTTATTACATACACAAATAATTTTTGCAGACAGCGTTACCCGAGATATTAACTTATTATCCGACTAGTACTTCTGTATTAACAATATATCATTTTTATCAAAATATTGTTACAAGTGAGTAAATGTTATCACAAGTTGTATTCTTTTTTTGGATATTTCGCTGATTTTTTCTTGTTCCTTGAACAATATTGATTGTTGCAGGAGACTTTCGATCTTATGATTATAAATATTCTATTTATGGACACCTAACATCCAAAAGGTATGAACTCGAAAAAATTACTACACCGTTGGCTTTGATTTATGGTACTAACGATGTACTTGCCACGAGATCGGTAAATATATACTTCTATCTAAATTTTAACATTTTATGTTGTATTGAATGAAATGTAAAAAAATTTCATTCAATATTATATCGAGAAATATATTATATGTTTATATTTATTCTTTACATATTACACAGATTATTATTTTTTATACTATTATTTTTTTATAATTTTGTGTTTTTATATTTTACATTTTATTTATTTCCAAAAAAGATCAATTACGCAAATGAGACGTATGTCTCGTTATTTCCTTATTGTCATTTCTTTCCATACATATAATCTCAATATAAAAATTAAGTCAGTTACTTTAGTTTCAATTGCCACATAATTCGCTTTATTTGTAAAAACATTTTCCCTAGAATGTGCTTGAAGTGTACAAACGATTGTCCAGCGTTATTTTATTTGAGGAAGTTCCATACAAACTCTTCACTCATCTCGATTTTATGTGGGCTATCGATGCGAAAAGTCTCTTATACGATCGTGTTATAGACATAATGAAGAAATTTGAAGCTAAACAACCAAACTGGATTTAATTTATTTTAAGCGATGTAAAATAAGTCCTTAAAATTATATTAATTATCTTATAAAAATTTTATTTAGTTTCTATTAAAATATTGTGTATATTATATATAGTATGTATTATAAAAAATTTATTCTCATGTCCGTCTGAATATACTCATATATAATTGTATGAAAATATGTAATATCTTGTAAAATATGTAATATTATATATTGTAAAATATGTAATATATATATAATTGTCCGTTTTTTACACGTAAAGCAAGAAAAATCAAGAGCCAAATGGAGAGTTGGGAATACTCTTACGAATAATTTTTTTAAATTACAGAGGATAATAATGTTTAAGCGAGTAATAGCTTATGAGCCAAAAGTTTTTCAAGATTCAGCCTTCTACGTAAAACTAATAAAAAACGCACTTAAGAAAGAAATAAAATTGGGACATAGTATTTTAGCGTCAACAGTCAACTCATTACTTACATACGTATAATCGTATAATAAATCCAAAAAAGAGGAAATAGTAAAATCATGCGTTATTCTATGATCAAAATTTTGTTTATCTTCCAGTAATCTTAAACATTACATTACATTAAACAAGATATCCTTGACCCGGTTTATATCTAGTCGAATTCGTTGGTGCTTATCACATATAATTAGTGTTGTTGCTAGAAAGATGTATATACACAGTATGTCGGAAAAATAACGGAACTTTTTAAATTTAAAGAAAACTACTAACGCTATCTATTGAAACAATATATAATCTGAAAGCTCTATATCTCCTCTACAATATTTTTAAGAATCTTTGATGACGTTATTATCCTCAGGAATCTTATGTGTAACGTAAACTGTAGATTTTCGTGCAAAAAATTGTTCATATAACATATATGTATATTAGCCCTTATGAAAAAAAAACTCTCAATTTTGGGTGTTAACACTCAAAAAACGCTTAACTTTGGTGTTAAACACCGATAAAAAACGCTCAATTTTGAGTGTTATACATCGAATAAACGCTCTATTTTGAGTGTTACACACCGAAAAAACACTCAAATTGGGTGTGATTTCGGATCGTCAATTGAAGGTTACACCCAAAGGAAGGTTAACGCTCAACGAAAACCCTCAAAATAACACCCAAGAAAACTCTCAAAATAACACCCAAATATTCACATTAACATTTTTTACTCTATATTTCTTATTCTTACATACACAAATACATATACATGTTCAAAAAATATTTTAGAGATATGATATCTCTAAAATGTTTTTCAGACATTGTATATGTAGGGTATAAGCTATATTATCATTTAAACAAAAAATCACAATGATTTCAAAATGAATAACAAAAGACTATAAAAACTCACTTTGTAATTATGATTAGATCATTTTCTTGTCATTTTGACATCATTTTGACGTCACTTTGTTATTGTGACTTTCTATTTTAATGTACAGTTCTAAAAGTCATCATAACATCATTTCAATATCAAAAAAACATCACCAAACCATCACGAAAACTATATCGAATGACATCATCCTGATTTGTCTTAAAATAACTTTTTGTTGATATCATAATTATATTATTATGATTTTTTGTTCTACCTGGGTACTTATTCCATTAACTTTTCATTATTTAAGTAATACAATACGGAAGGAGGTCAAATCTCAGTAATGTTCATAGTTAATTTTTATTATTTAAGATTGTCTTAAGTACAGTCTTAAGATGTCGTAAACTAATCACAACAAAGCCATATGAGCGTCTTAACACGTTCATTGCCGTTCACGCGATATCGCGTGTTGCGGCCCCTCACCAAACGGCCGTTCACGCGATTGTTTTTTATTATGAGTGACAAACCAGGACCCTCGAAAAGACTCAGTTCAATGCCAATTCAATCGTGCAAAAAAACGACTAAAAATAAATAAAAGAAAAAATAACTTTGGCCACTACACGAAATTCAAATTTTCAGTTTGGCAATGTGCGTCTTAAAAGACATTACTTATGAATACTAGTCACTGACTAGCTACACGCGAGTAAGGCGCGCGCGCCGGCCCTGAGCGCTCTACATAGACAAGAGCGCTTATTCATTAACTTTGACACGTTCTCTTGCAAAAACTATTTGTCGGACACAATTTTACTAAGGGAAAAAGTTGTTTATTTTAACATAAAATATCATGTCCTGTACTCCGAATGCGGGAATTTTGGATCACCCAGTATTTTTATAAAATTCACGGTATCAATAGAATGTTACTGTTATTTATTATTATTTGTCTTGACATATGTAATACTGAGAGTACCTTAACAAAGTAAATATTTAAAATTATTTAAAAGTTGCTTAAAATAATCTCATAAATACGTCAGAGATTTTGTATTAGTTTTAAATATTAGTTGGATATAAAACGAAAAATATGTTTAAAATATGTTTCTGAGACATATTTTTTATATGTTATCTAGTAAGATTAACATTTTATGTTTCGCTTCTAATATCATTATCAGTAACATAACAAAATTTCATAATGGACATATCGTAATTATATATTCAGCTATATATCTACTTATCACTTATTGCGAATTATGTCAACGCGAAAATTTTAATATACTTGTTGATTTAATAACAAACAAGATCAATTCATACATATGTAGATATAAAGAATAAATTTTATTTTAAAATGTTTGCCTTAACTTCAATAATATATCTATTTAATATGCACTTATATTCAATAATTTAACAACATAGAACTGCAATTTAACGTAACTAAATTTACTTACCATAATATAACATCAAACAAAAGATCTAACATTCCTCTAACTTGTTTCCCAGAATATTTTTGTTGTATAACAAAATATTCATCTAAATTTGACGCTAATTACTAGGAAATATATTGCAACTACAATACACGCTAAAGTAGTAATAATAAACAATATCAATTAATACATACGTAAATGTAAAAAAATAAGTTTTATTTAGGAACTATTCTCTTTTCTTTGCAATAATAAAAATCTAATCTATATCTAAGTATATCTTATAATTAAATTTAACATGAAACTGTAATTCAACATAATTAATATGTACTAGGTACGCAATTAAGTTTCCGGGTTTCACACATGGTTGGCGCTAACGACACATGTAGTCGACATACATGTCTGAAGTTGTGTTTTTTTTATAGCTTGGACATCTGTTAACAATAACCAGTCGTAATACCAACACATATCGCAACGCAAAAATATTTTTTCTAACAACGAAGATGTCGAGTTTTGTACCAAATAAACAGCATTTGCGGGAAGCTTTGCTTTTCTGCTTTAACTTGAAAAAAAGTGCAGCTGAAGCACGTCGTTTGCTTGAGGAGGCCTACGGCGAACATGCACCATCAAAAACTACCTGTGAAGGTTGGTTTAAACGCTTCAGAAGTGGCGATTTCGACACTGAGGACAAGGAGCGCTCCGGAAGACCAAAAACAATTGAAGATGCCGATCTGCAAGCGTTATTGAATGAAGATGATACGCAAACACAACATCAACTTGCGGAGGCATTAAACATGACTCGCCAAGGTATTTCCAAACGTTTACATGCCATGGGAAAAATTCAAAAGGAAGGAAAATGGGTGCCGCATGAATTGACTGAGAGACAGATGAAAAATCGAAGAGCCACTTCCGAAATTTTGCTTTTGCGGCATGAAAGAAAGAGTTTCCTGCATCGAATTGTTACTGGCGGTGAGAAATGGATATATTTCGAGAATCCCAAACGCAAAAGATCGTGGCTTTCACCTGGCGAAGCATCAACATCGACGGCACGGCCAAATCGCTTCGGAAAGAAGACAATGCTCTACGTTTGGTGGGACCAGAAAGGAATCGTGTACTATGAGCTGCTGAAAAGAAGCCGGGCGAAACTGTCAATGGGCATCGCTACCGACAACGATTGATCAGTCTCTTCCCCTTTCATCTCCAGTCCACCTTCCTCCATCTCCCTCCACTCCTCCTGCACCTCATTACTTTCGTTTTCTCTATGTTTACCTCTAACCCCTTCTTTTCCAGATACCTCTCCAACCTCCTTATCATTCCCTTCATCCCCTCCTCGTCTTCCAATACCGCCAGGTCGTCTGCATACGTCAGCGTATACATCCTCTCTTCCCCCAGCCTTACCCCCTATCCCCCAATTTGAATCCTGTATTGCTCGAAAAACGGCCAGAATGGGACACGAGACACGAATGAGTGATATTGCAGCACGACAACGCTCCGTGCCATCGCACTTCCATCGTCCCATTAAGGACACCATTAAAACGCTGAAATGGGATCTGCTACCGCATCCGCCGTATTCGCCAGACCTGGTCCCTTCCGATTATCACTTGTTCCGGTCGATGGCGCATGGCTTGGCTGGGCAACACTTGGCCAATTTCGAAGAAGTGCAAAATTGGTTGGATGAATGGTTTCGGTCCAAAGACGCGTCGTTTTATCGTCGCGGTATTCATGTATTGCCAGAGAGATGGCAAAAATGTGTAGCTAGCGAGGGACGATACTTTGAATAAACCATTTTTTGTATTTCTCTTGAAATTTTCCATTTTTCATTGATCAAAGAAACCCGGAAATTTAGTTGCGCACCTAGTAATTTAATATAATGTAATATAAAACAAAAAAGGTTTACATTTCTTTAATTTGATTGTCTCTCAGATATTTCTGTTCTTTAACAAAATGCTCGTTGCAAATTTAACAACGATTGTTAAGAAATATATTATAATTACAATACAAGCTATTATAAATCCATAAACGTCAATTAGATTTGTCTGCCATGGCATATCCATCGTTGGCGAACGGAGCATGTTCGGACCGTTACGAATCACATATTCAATCTAAAAAATCGCTATTTCTCGCGCTGTCATCGGTCTATCTTTGAAATGTAAGACCTCGCGTTTCGTAACTTCCCTGAAGTTCAAGAAGCCAATAGTTATCTAAGCGATTTTATTTAAAATAACCTTGCACTCATTAAAATGCGCAATTTAATATTTGATCTTACTTACATATAGCTGGGATTATTTAAAACAGTACTGAGAGCAACATTCATTGTTTCTTCAGATAAATTCTCATAGCGTAATTTCACACCCATACCTTTATGTACTAAAACATTAACATTTCGATACTGGTCTGCAAATATGGGGATTCCTATCACAGGTACGCCATAATAAAATGCTTCCAGAGATCCCATTAAGCCACCATGAGATATGAATACCCGTGTATTATGATGTCCTGTAGGAGAAATACCGAAATAATAGATTTTCTTAAACTCAATTGATAAAATTCACACCTTCGATTCATAATACGAGTACAAACAGCATACAAGGTATATACGGCGATTCTAACGGAGAGACTAAGAGTGGAGGTGGAGAGGAAGAGGATTTTGCCGGAGAGTCAGGCGGGATTTAGAAGGGGAAGGGGGACAATAGACAATGTCTATGCATTGAATTACTTAATTACTTAATAAACAGGCAGGTGGAGAGGAGAGATAGGAGATTAGTAGTACTGTTTGTGGACCTCAAGGCGGCGTTCGATGCGGTAAAAAGGGAGGTGTTGGAAAAAACGATGAGGGAAAGGAGAGTAAGGGAAGGGTTGGTAAGAAGATGCGAGGAGGTGCTAGGGGAGACAAGGAGTAGAGTGAAAGTAAGGGGAGGGAGGGAAAAAATGTTGGACGAGTAGGGGGGTGAGACAGGGGTGCTCGTTGAGTCCGCTGTTATTTACAATATTAATAGCGGATATTGATGTATTGTAGATTTCGCTGTACGTATCGCTGTACATACATAAAGCTAAATTTCAACGAATAATTTTCCTGCAAAACACGTCCAGTTTGAAGATTTGTTATCTAAGTTGCCATTTTCAGTGAAGCATTCGCGTCATTTCTATCTTATAATCATCAAATATGTCGTTGTGCTAGACTCAGACGAACGGTTTGCACTATGACAATACAATTATTTAACATGACATCGCGTTTCATTCGCGACAGCCATTTTATCGGCGACAGCAGTATGAAACTAAACTTTTACGGTCTGAACGTTGCAATTGCGCGCAGTGTTACTCGTACGGTCGACGACGAGCAGCAATTTGCTATAAATTTTCCAATCCTTAATGGAACGTGCACGGGAATAACGGGGGAAGGCTAATTAATCATTAGTTTGTCAACAGTTTATTCATTGTTGCATATAAAGATCTCTTAAATATTTCAGAAAGGTTAACAAATGATAAAATGTCGTTACAACAGTTACAACCGATTAGTTACAGCAGTTACAGACGTTACAACCGATAGTATATAAACTGATGTATTCAGTTATCCGATTTCGTAGTACCACTTGTCCATAGTACTTGATCCGCTTAATATTTTCATCTGACATAATACGACGTACTTTGAACGCATAACTACATTTCTCGGCTGTTTCTAATAATGACAATCAGTAATAGCAATCGACGCGACATAAGTGTAATATGCAACTTATTTGCCACGTCAACAATAAATATATTATACGCCATTCACTTTTACATCAGACTTAGAAACGGTAATTTTTAATATTCATGCTTGCAAACGTTATATTCGTTCGGCTTGATTTAAGTAAGATACAATGGCGTGTAAAAGTTTCGAGCCATAGTGTCTTTTTAAGATACATGACAATATATTGATTTGCTCTAAAAATTAATTATATGTGTATGTCATATAATTAATATATCAGCCGTAAGAACGCGAGAAGAGAGTGAGCGAGTGAGAGAAAGAGCGAGGAGTAGCGAAAAAAATTCCGCGGCTCACATAGTCCGCAAGCTAGACGAACGAGAAAGAGACAATAGATAATACATCGGTGCTCACCTAGTTCCTCACGTGTTACCTCGCGCCGGCGCGGATCACCGCTCGTCCCCGCCGCCACGCTCTGTCGCCTACGTCATGCTGTTCGGAGATCAAAGTTTGCACCGCTGATCTTTATATAAAAGAGCTTACTAGAGCATATAGAACATTTTGTAAGCAGATGTTGACTAGCTAAGTAGCAACTAGTGCAATAAGTGCCTTTGATCTTCTGGTTTACGAAATTAATGCTTATGAATGTATAATCGTTTAACAAGTCTATAGTCTTATTTGTGAAGTTTTTAACAATAACAGTCATAACGGTAGTAAATGTGAAACAATTTCTAGAGTGTATAATGTATATTTCACAGACATATATTTGAATATATAAATAGTCGTTTTGGACACTACTGAGTGCACGGTTTGATTATTGGAACGCAATTATTTCCCAGTATTACTGAAGCGTTTTATTAAAAATAGAAGAAATGAAATATTTCCAATATTTGTTTTCGTCCCTGTTGCTGTTAACCGTGTTACCCATTCAAGGGTACAGGATTTTATGTGTATTCCCTTATAATGGAAAAAGTCACTTTCAAGTGACGGAAGCGCTTTGTAAAGCCTTGGCAGAACATGGCCATCAGATCGACATGATCAGTCATTTTCCTTCTAAAAATCGTATAGCGAATTATACGGATATAGTGAACCTGCTAGGAACCAGGAGGGCCGTCACCAACAATATCTCACTAAATGAAGCAAGACAGATAAATACTGCAGTTACATTTTATATCGCCACCGTTTTTGGGGGTGATTTGTGCTCGCTGATGGGTAATGCAAAGATGCAAAGGTTCATCAAGAACCCACCTAACGATCCGCCTTACGACCTCGTTATCACAGAGGTAAGCAAATCTAAGTGTATAAGTTTTGCATACGTATTTGTCTTTCATAACTAAAGTGAGACATTTTAAATTGAACTAGTAAAATATCCATGAAAAGTTTGACATGAAGTTATATAACCTTCTATAGCACATAATTTACAGTCATAATATAACACTTGCCACACTCCATTAGCTTCGCAACATGTTCCAATTTTTAGTAAGAAATTTTGTTTTGTGCTCATTCTTAGGAGCTACATTTCCTACTATTGTGTCGTAACTTTTCACCAATTGATTGTATTTCTTATGGAAAGTTATGAAACAAAGTAACTTCATGTTAAGGCTTCATTCATACAAGCATTCTGTATATTATATCTTATCATTTATAAGCGAAAACGTTTCCTTTGCAATGACTACAAAGAAACTCGACTGTCGTACATAAATTTGTCGAGCAACATTGATCCACTCGGAATTTTGTACTAAAATATGTATTTTTAATTTATCAGTATTTCGGTTCGAGCTGTTACTTTGGGTTCGGACGTTTGCTGAACATACCAATAATTGGTATTGTGGCGAGTCTGGAGTACGCCTTCATGAACGAAGTTATGGGAAATCCCACAAGCAGTTCCTTCTTTCCTGGTATATTAGTAGAATTTGCTGGTCTTCCAAATTTTTGGCAACGTTTAGTCAACACGCTTGAAAACTTGATACAGCCACGCATATTTAATTACTATTCGTCATCGCAAACTGATGATATGAGGAAGTATCTACGACAGGACATGCCGGATGTTCGGGAAATTGAGAAAGATATAGCATTATTATTTGTAAATAGTCATTATTCGTTTCATGGGACTCGACCCGTTATTCCCAGCTTCGTAGAGATTGGAGGACTACACATAGAAATGGATAAGTCGCAATTAACTCCAGTAAGTCATGCACGACAAAATATTGATTACATTCGAACATAATCGAATAAAGTTATAACATTCGAGTTTTTACTCGCTGCATACTGTTAAGACCGGATAAGACATAACAGTCCAATCAATGTATTCAGTTATTATTATATAACTTGGAAGTGACAAGTTATATGACGTATATGTTATCACATTTATATTACAGTTTAGTAATTTTACTGTCTTTTTGAACATAACTGCTCAGTCAACATATTCACTTACTGTTATATAATTTGAATATATAAAAAAGTTGTGTAACAAATGTATTATAACAGTTATATTACACAGAGTTATATAATTTTATTATCTTCATAACATTTATGAAATATAAAGTCATATATTTAACATATATATTACATAATTTGCACTTCAGAAAAAGGGCGGAATTTTTATATAACACAACGTGAAAATTATTTTCACACTATGTAACAGGTGATGAAGAAAAGCATAGATGTTATACTATAGTATATTGGCTACATTATAGTGTCGAGTGGGAGAATATATTGCCACAATTTCCAATTGATCGTGAATTGTATATTAAATGCTTTGTTTAGTCGAATATTTCTAATGTTGATATTCTATTTCATTAAAAACGCTGCATAAAAATAAAATTATCTGATTTTTTAATATTTTCTAAATATTTAAATTGTACATGATAAAACATGATAATGTTAGAAATATAACACGAAAGTTCATAAAACGATGTTACGTTTGTAACGTTTATATAATATCGAACATATTATTAAAATTGATTAGAAGTCTAAACTGTTTTTGTACATCGTGCTGCATCATCGTGCTGCATCATTCAAATTAACCTTGCATTTTCTGCCAAGGAAATCTGTTCGTCTATTCTCGATTTTAATTTCTGCAGGAGCTACAAGAGTGGGTGGACAACGCGGACGATGGTGTGGTGTATTTCACTTTAGGTTCGTTGGTAAATATCGAAACGATGCCGAACAGTTCTCTACTCGGATTATACGAATCCTTTAGAAAAATTGCACCCATTAAAGTACTGATGAAAATTGCAAATAAAGACTTACTGCCTCCTGGCCTGCCTAGTAATGTTGTTACATTACCGTGGATACCACAGATGGCAGTATTACGTAAGTTTAAGTAATAATAAAGTATGAAAATTCCATCTTAAAAATGTCCATTGTCTATCGTTTTATTTACCTCATTTTCTCATTTCATTCTTTGATAAACTTTTTAGATATTTTATAATCTATCTATTTTAAATTATATCTAACTCTTCCACAATCTAGCGTTTTATTAGGAAGAAAAGAAAGAAAGAGAGAGACTATATTATGAATCGAAGATATGAATTTTCTCAATTGAGGTTAAGGAAATCTATTATTTCGGTATTTTTCATACAGGACATCATAATACACGGGTATTCATATCTCATGGTGGCTTAATGGGATCTCTGGAAGCGTTTTACCATGGCGTACCTGTGATAGGAATCCCCTTGTTCGCAGACCAGTATCGAAATATTAATGTTTTTATACATAAAGGTATGGGTGTGAAATTACGCTATGAGGATTTATCTGAGAAAACAATGGATGCTGCTCTCAATACTGTTTTAAATAATCCCAACTACATGTAAGTAAGGTCAAATACTAAGTTGCGCATTTTAATGGGTCACCAAGTTATTTTAAATAAAATCGCTTTGATAATTATTGGCTTCTTGAACTTCAGGGAAGTTGCGAAACGCGAGGCCTTACATTTCAAAGATAGACCAATGACAGCACGAGAAGTAGCGAATTTTTGGACCGAATACGTGATTCGTAACGGTCCGAACATGCTCCGTTCGCCAACGATGGATATGCCATGGTGGCAGACAAATCTAATTGACGTTTACGGATTTATAATGGCTTGTATTGTAATTATAATATATTTCTTAACAATCGTTGTTAAATTTGCAATGAGCATTTTGCTAAAAGACATAAATATTTGGAAAACACGCAAGCTAAAGGAATATTAGCTTTTTTTGTTTCAAGTTAAGTTACATAATAATTATAATTTCACGTGGAGTTTAATTATTGGAGAAGAAAGAGAGTAATGCCAAAGTAAAATTTTTTTACATTTGTTTTTTACATTTACATATGTATAAATTGATATTGTTTATTATAAATTTAATATACGTGCTGAAATCACGCATGTATATCGTGGTAAAGTGTAAGCAGCTGGAGATTTTAATAACATGTCCAATGAATTCTTTTTATATTACGATGTCCAAAGCAGGACGTAATACATTAATTTTACTAGATAACATATCTAAAAAATATCTCAGAGACATGTTTTGACTCGTCTTGCAGTACAACACTCATTTAAAACAAAAAGTTTCTCGTTTATTTATAAAATTATATTCATACATAGCTTTTAAATATTTCTTAGATATTTATTCTATTAGGATTAACTGGGCATCTTGCGTTAAAATGTATGCTAATGAGTAACAATTCTATTGATATTTATTGTATTGATATTGGTATTGATAGTGAAATCCATGAAAACATAATTTAATATATTTGATAAACTTCTTTGACTTAGTTTCCTCACAAGCTATAATATAATCGATAACTGTTATAAATATATGGATATTTATATTTATTTATACCTTTTAATTTTAACATATATAATTTATGTATCTTAATAATCTAATGAAATAAGATTTTCTTATCTCTGTCTTTTCAATATTTTTATATCCTTTAAAAAATTATTTTTTCATCTCTCACGACTAATTTACGTTATTTCAATATATTTTATCCTTAGCGACCGTTCAGCTTTGAAGGATATACTCCACACTCAGAAGGCTAGTATTACACAATATAATAAATATTAATTTCAATTATAAAATATCATTATTTAATATTAGAATTTTTTATTAATGTTTTGTTAATATTATAATTTCTCATTCAACGATCATTATTATATATAATAAGTATTATATTTACTTATTGTTGAGTGGAAAATTACGATGTTAATGTTGTTGCTTTTTATATTTATTTCGTATTATCTTTATTACGTTTTACACTTTATCACATTTGATAATATAAAATATGCCTAATATATTTATATCTGTGCAAATGCTATTGTGTATGACCTATGCTCTCTGAACTTTAGATATTGATTTTGTACTTGGTTGAGAAAAGGCAAAATTTCGTCTTTTTATCTTAGCACATGTGCACATATATACATGTACATAACACATATTATAGTCACATATATAGTATATGAGTAATAAATACTGTTATTTTAATTTAAAGTTTATTTCTATTATAATATGAGGTCATGGCAACATGGACGGACATATGACACTTATAATAATGATATTAACAATAAAACTAATATAGACAACGATGCGTAAAGATAATTGCAGTATGTACATTCCAGGATGTTCATATCAAAGTGAATTCCGTTGATATCAACGGGAAACACGAGGAAAAATTATAATAATTCAGTTTTCAATCATTGTTTCAATATCTCTGGAGCCACCGGTATATTTTATGTACAATGTAACGTAATTACATTTTAAGAAGGTTGCGTCATTTTCGGTTGGTATTATGAAACGCCAATTGAACACGGCTAAACCAGACTAGCGGTGCCGATGTTGATTACGACGTTGTCAACGCTTCGCTCATAAACCGTTAAATCATGTCCCCTCGGTTGCTCTAATAAGACAGCGAGTTGTTCTCCACTCGCGAATGATCCCGTCGAAGGTGGCAGGATCACATCGCATTCCAACTGACCTGCACAGAAGCCACAATTTACAATTCAATTACATACATAACATCCTGCTTCTAATGAATCAATTTCTAACGAAGAATGCTTAACTTAAAGCTACTCTGTTAAATATATCATTAATGAATTATATGCTTCTGTTATCACGAAACAGGACTTTTTAATACCTGATAACGAAGGCGACGCACCCTTGCTGGAGCCATACATGCGAGTGCTGTAACCAGAATCGTTGTGAGTATCGTGCAGAGGCGGCGTTGGACTGTACACAGGATTGCGTGATCTGTAAGGCATTCTCGCGATGCTGTCGTAGTGCACGTCTTCAGAAATATTAGTTTTCCTACAATTAGCTCCCTTATAAGCTTCGGGTTGTTCAACATCGTCGTCTTCACCTTCGCTACTCTCGCTGTCATTACCTACAATGACAGCCGAGAACGGATACGTTCGAGTCGTAAGTAGTTTTCTTAAAGATTTATATAGTTCTCACAATTCCTCGTAATTTTAATCCTAAACCTAACCTTACTTAATGTATCAAGTTGAATTTATACATAATTTCTTTCGACGATAGTCACTGATTCCTACATGCTACTTGGTAAATCCAATATATTCTTGTGTTTTAACCGAAACATATTACCTTGAAGATGTATTCTCTGATTTGACTCGCTCAAGTTGATCGGTTCGCTGTTTCCGGAACGAATTCCTCGCCAGCCGTTATGTATATCAGGTACTTGCTGAAACCGCTTGATCATCTCGTGGACACTGCGACGACCGCTCCATTCTGTTGCATTGCTATCGCCAATCTTGCGAGCCTTATTCTCATCCGCAGACATGGTCATACCGTGCAAGTCGTACGATACGCAACCCTTGAGAACACATAAAAGAAACTCGATTAATATTTATATCTAGATAGACAGACCAAACAACTTTTAACTCACGGTCTTGGCTCATTTTTTATTCGTTTCATAAAGAGACAATATGGTGATTGCAATTTAATCTTACCCTCTGTTGACGTCTCCCCTCCATAGAAGGTGACTGCGTTGGCACTATGCTTAAAGGTGAGGTTCTATCCTGCCTAACGACTCCATCAAATGTTTCATTAAGTCTCGGGGGAATATCTAACACCCTAAGCGCTGATCTGGTCACCCCAGAGCCCGAAGGTAGGTCTTTCATAGACGTGCTAAGTCTAGGTATAGCCGGTATATCGAGATCGTCCAGACTACCGCGGTGAACTGGTGTTTCTCCAGGTATTTCAAAGCTACGATCTTGCGGTCGATCGTCCAATAAATCCTCCAGTGACCTGGTTCTAGTCGGTAGCACTACTTCATGATGCTGGTTATAGTTGGTTTTCGCTGGTCTCTCGCTGTATCTACCCCTTCCACCTCGCTGAAGACGTTGCTGGAGCTGCGAGTGTCTCTCGTTACATCTGGTTCGTTCCTCCTGTACGCACCTAGTCAACTCTGAGATTTGCCCTCTGGTCCTTCTCTCCAGATTAGTCACTTTCAGGTCCAACTTCTCGTGAGCCTGATCGATGTGGGCTTTCAATTCAGCCTTGTCCCGCTCCAACTTTGCCTCCATGTGACGGAAGAACGGTGCACAATAACACGTGTATCCTACGCCCACCGGACCCTTCCTGATATTACCCGCTAGGTCCAAGTAGTACTGCTCACCACGCTCTAAAGGATCGGCCGGCAAAGAGTCCAGACGAGGTTGAGGGAACGCTTCCGGGTCCGGATAATAGTGACAGCCGTAAGGCGACCATTGCCGGCCCATGATGGCCTTCTCAAAGCGGACCTTATGCTGCTTGCCGTTGGACTTGTGCTTCTTCCGGTCTTTCTTCGAGCTGCTACCGCCACCGCCGCTGGTACCACTTCCGGTTTTTTCTCGCTTCTTTGTTTTACCTAAAAACAAATATCACAAATCGATTATAAGTACAGTATTCTGAAGTGTTCGTTAGTCGAAGTCAATTCGACGTGTGGGCCAATTAGACCGAGTCGAATTCATCGTTAACGTTCATTGTTAATGTTGTTTAGAGTTCATTGTTAATGCACAAATAACCCAGAAGCAATGCAGCATTCGTGTGTGGCTAACGACGTGGTTTTCTATGACGCGACCACTAACAGATTAATCGAATTGGACTTTGACCTCACCGTCGTCCAATTTTCCATCAACCGAGTCGCCCTCGCGGCTCTTACTACGTGTTCGGCTCTTGCCACGGGCTTTAGAGATAATGTCCAGGATTTCGGAGAGATTCTTACGACGGGCGATGTCCTTGGCTGTTTCGCTCTGTTTATTCCGCAAATTCCGGTCGCAACCAGCCTCCAGAAGAATTCGCGTCAACTTTCGGCGACCCATCGCCGCGGCTATGTGCAGCGCGGTATCGCCGTTCTACGGTGACGAAACAAATGGTTTGTATCGCGAACAATGGAATAAGAAATCGACGATTTGTAATAAACCTGAAAGAACGAGGAAGCGTTATACTCACTTTATTTTGATCAGACACCCTGCACAGAGCCGAGATCAGTATGCGAGTTACTCCGGCATGACCGTAACGTGCGGAAGTATGCAATGGTGTATCGCCGTACTGAAACGCATGAATAACGTTTGAAGTCTTTAAGAAATAGGTACATTTGCCAAGAAGGAAAAGATACTCATACGTGTCAAAAATCACTAACTATTATATATTCGCCTTTGAAAATTCTTCTTAATTTTTATTTATTTATTTATTTGTCTTCTTAATTTATTGGTTTCGTACAGAGTTGAGTTTCTCACCACAGTTCGTGACGAAAATAGCAACACGTTATTGATAGAATCGTTCACTGGTACAGGAATGCGATGGCAATTAGGGGGTGGAAAATTTGTAATTGCAGTTTATTCCGGACGTGTATCATCATTTTATACAGTTATCCCCGTACACTCGCGATGAAAATGTTGCAACTGTACTACATCGTTATTGTACACAGTTATTTAAAAAAAATTTGGAGGCTTGGCTTCACGCGATATTAGCGCTAAATTCCCTCCCTTCATTCTTATCCTTATCGTTAGAGCGCAAAGTGCACGATAAAGTGATGGTAAGGAATCGGCAGATCGCTTACGTTATTCTGAAGATCGGGATTGCTGCCGGCTAGGAGGAGCTCTCGACAGCTTTGATTATGGCCGTTTTGACAGGCGAGGTGAAGCGGTGCAAATCCGGCGAGATTCCTAGCATGCAGAGGGGCCCGTTGGGTCCCGAGGGCCTTCGCCAGAACCGCCACGGTCCGACTGTAACCACGCCACGATGCCTCGTGCAATGCCGAGTTTCCATGCTGAAAACACGCAGACGTATTCATCGAAGGTTGTTCGGTACCCGGCTCCGAGCTATAGGGTGTCCCAGAATAGATCGACCAGTCCCGGATACATGAGATCCGCAATCCACATTCACACTAACCACTAATAATCTTTAAACTTATAATCGAGGAATTTCAAGTAATGTTATTAATATAAGCTAATTCGTTTCTACTTTTCTACGAGTACCTATTGATAGAATACCTTCCTGGTTATTCAAATTTGCGAATATTTTCCAGATATTCGGTATAACTGGGTATTCAATAATTCAGAGTAAAGAAATCGTAGGTAATATTTGAATTGTCATCTGTCATATTGATTTCCATTAGCAATTAATGATGCTTCAGCTCTAATTTTGTTCTTTTCTTTTTCTATATAGTATACGTACTTTGTAAATCGATCACTGTACTTTGATAATCTGCAGGTTGTATTTACTAATCGTGCTACTCAAGTGGCATCTGAGTGGCTGGAAATTATTCTAGAGGCTCGATTATCTGAGTAATACTCGAATACCTGCCTATCAGAGTATTGATACCGCTAATTTTGAATGTTCTCCATTAATATAATAGCCTATTTCATCATCGCTTGCATGCAACGATTCTGTATAAAATTACACCTCGGCGCAATGAAGAAGAAACTCACTCGAGAAACTAAATAAATTTCAAGAATTAATGTTGGCTACCAACATTAGTTTGAGTTCAAGGCGAAAAATCAGTTTCTGAACAAAAATTTGGAAAATTAATTTCTGGGACACATCGTATAGCTGGCGTGTATGCAAGCGAACGTCTTCGTGCTGCATTTTACTACACGTTCCGCGAGTACTAACATGTAATATCAGTTAATGACAGTTGTTACCATTATTACTAGTAAATCCGTGGAGAGCGAATGCTCCGTTAATTTATCTTTAATGAGTTTCCTTGGACTTACTACTACTTTTTTCATTACATTGCCGTCTCAATAGTCACCCTATTTAACGTCATATTTAGTGTTAGATTTACCTAGAAGAAAATCAAGATAACATCAAAATGAAAATCAAGATAGCATCAAGATAATATGAAAATGACAATAAAATTATCGAATTATAATCGAAGAGTGAGTTTTTACATTTCTTCGTCATTTTTATCATGCTATCATGATTTTCTGTTTTACTTGGACAAATGATACACAATCAAATGATGCACAATCAAAATTTAGAATTTATATTCGTAGTACAAAAGTTAAGATGGAAAAATTAATATTTTTATCTCATCTGTAATATATATTTGCTCCATTCGCACGAGGATTGATTCTCATTGCGAATTTGAATATTGGAAGTAACATTGAATATTTTTATTAATTCTCCGAAAATAATGGCGGCTTATACTCAGTGTTGCCACGTGATATCATCAAACTGCAAAACCTTTTAACGATTACCAACTTTCAGGACGCTAGTATTACGATTTCGGAGACAATTCAATTTCTGGTATTAGCGTAATATTATCATTAGGACTGGAGGAACTTAGAGCTCGATTTATTACATCTCGATGTTGAAATTTGCGGTTTGCCACCGACACCGTGCAAAAGTCACATAGTGACGTGTCCATGTGCGATGGCGCAGCTGGTGCTCACAGAAACTGGTGTACGGTACACGGCGTAGCGCAACAAAGGAAAAAGGCGGACGGGCGCAAGAGGATGACCGAGAGACTTACAACTGCTCGCCCATACTCAGCGAAGCAGCCGCTGGTCGATGAACCGTGCCATGCCACTCGCGACAGCACCGCCGCACACACCTAACCCTACGCGTGCTCACGCACGATGCCGCGCAGCATATAGGGTGTCCGGTCAGAAATTCCAAGAACTTCAGTAATTATATAGATATCCAGAATGAGTCGCGTAACCTGATACTATACTGATTCTATCAAAAGAATCTTTAAGAATTACCATTAAGAGAATTACTAAAGAGACAATTTTGAAAGTTTATACAAATAAAGGGATTAATAAAAAAATATAGCTGTTATTTTGAAAATTTATTATTGACAAAATCAAAAAATTAAGTCCCTAACAAAAAGAAATAATGAAACCGTGCGATTTACGTCGTATAAAGAATTATATTAATAAATGGATCAGCTTTAAATCAAATTTGTTACTTTCATATATTATATTGTGAAATATATAGCAAATCGACTTTGTGAATTCTTATGTGATTGAATTCTCTGGACTGTTCTGTGACATCTCTCTCTCTCTCTCTCTCTCTCTCTCTCTCTCTCTCTCTCTCTCTCCCCCCTCTCTCTCTCTCTCTTTCTCTCTCTCTCTCTTTCTTCCTCTCTCTCTCTCTCTTGATTCCAGATTAATAAAGGATTAGGAATTATAAGAATAATAATAAAAATTATTATAAGAGTGAAAATAATATTACATATTATAACAGTAATAGTATTTTAGTAAATGGTATAATAATAACAATAATATTTTAACAAATAAGTTATTTTTCTGATTATAGATTTATATATTTGCATCGAGATCGGTTTCTTCATTCTGGCCGCAAACTCTAAATCTAATTACTGAGCGTCACATTCTTTGCAGTTTCCTTCCGTGAGCTAGCCATTGAAAACATTCATTGTTTAACCCGGAATTTATTACTTCGTGATTCCCGACTTTTGTTCCATAGCTCTGCCGTCTAAGAGATTTTTCTTATTTTCCTTTTTCTCGACTTCTGACTTCAAAAAAATTTTCCCTATTTTCTTCCGGTCACTTTATCGTTTTGATCCTTTTTTCCCTAGACTAGCTAATTTTCGCTAAATTTTCTTATAATACTTCTGATAAATAGATTGGTTGTTAATTTCCAAAAATTAGATTCATGTCTTATTCCCCTCTTGGACTTGACTTTCCGTGGAATCCGTTTGTCGTAAGAAAGTGAAAAGGAAAGAAAAAAAGAGAAAGAATACGGGATATTTAAAGAATATAAAGGTATAAAGATAGTCTTTTATTTTAATTCGATCTTATCTTCCATTTATTTACAAGCGAATCCATGTATTTTGTCTTTCATCTTTTTGCTGACCGTGTGAAAAAAGATACTGCGTAACAATGAAAGAGAGAGAGAGAGAGAGAGAGAGAGAGAGAGAGAGAGAGAGAGAGAGAGAGAGAGAGAGAGAGAGAGAGAATAGCTCGCATTTACGATTCATCGTTATAAGTCGGTCTAGTGGCGGATTTAAACTTTTTATATTCCTTAACTATAATATAAACAAATTTCATATGTCCTTTATATATATAAACAAATAATAAATTAAGAATATTTAAAATACGAAGAATGGTTCTATTCGCTGTGATTACTGCAGATATTTTATTTGTGGCCTATGTCCCAATCAAAAATTCACCTTACTCTAAGTCGACGTCCCTGAATAAATCATAAAGTTAAGCATGGAAATCAAAGAGGGGCTGCAGCAATGATGGTGGCATTTCTAAGTGCTCAATTTCTCGTCACAATTTTATTGCGACCATGTAACATGTACCATGTTACATGCGACCATGTAATTAAGATTATGTATTTCGATTTTATATACAGTTGAAAATTGCATAAATAACTCTAGTTATTATAGGCAGCAGGCATATATGAGGTCAATAGTCACTCTATTTAACGTCACATTTAGTGTTAACCTACGTACAGAATAAAATCAAGATAACGTTAAAATAACATGAAAATAACAATAAAATTATCGAATTATGATCGAAAAGTGAGTTTTTATGGCCATTTCTTTGTCATATATGTTACACAAAATATTGAATTAAATTAATTCCATTCTGTAACTATTCTGGACTTCTGTATACATGTACAAATTATTAAATTATATATTATAAATTACATATATATTACATAGATATATAATAATATAAGTTTCACTGGAATGTCAATGATAGTTCGTTTAAAGTCGTTTCTGAAATAATTTTCTGAGGATTTAATAATTGTTAAGAAACTACAGTGCTTCATTACAGCTAAATTTGCCGTGGAACATCACATGTCAGAATGGCCGAGCGGTCTAAGGCGCCAGACTCAAGGTATAGCAACCTTACCCGTTCGTGACGGGTAGTCAAGAGGATTCTGGTCCTCTCTGAGGGCGTGGGTTCGAATCCCACTTCTGACACATTTCTTTTTTATCTTGATTTATTTCAACGTCGTACTATTATTTTGATATCTTTATATAAACGTTTAAATATCTCATCGTGTTGAATTTTAACCAACAGTAAAGAACGCAAGTTCAAATCTCGCTCGGTCAAAGTTTTTTTTCAGGCCACGGCAAAGCTTTTTATCTCGTTGTTTTTTTAACAGACTACTTTTCCGTTGTGAAATTATCCATTTATATATATTTTTTTAATAATAATCATGTATATAGTGACTCATCAATATTATTTTAATTATATGTTAAAAAGCGTATTTGTAACAATTTTTGCTAATTTGCTAAACTCAGTGTGTTTGTAACAATTTTCTGTAACTAACCCTTTATAGAAATCTTACGCGAATTATCAATTTAATGTTGTCAATATAAACATTTCGTTTTTCATTTTTCTAAAATACTATCTACACTAATCACGTTGAGTATTCGAGTGATAATAAAAGAAATTAGGTACTAAGCAGCAGATATGACACCACTAGTGCTCACGTTCACATTCAAAAGTTAATGCACAATATGAAAAACAGCATGATATATCAAGTCCTTTGGAATCTTGCATTATTTTGAACATTACGGTGGACAAGTCGATACTTAACGATACCATTATCAAGTACTACGCGCGGACATCACTCTTTATTCAAGGTCACACGATGTAACGACGTATCAGGTATCCAGATATCCCCTATACCTTGATGCTTCGTGTACCATACGCTTGCACAGATTCGCAGGAATATAAGCTCTCCCACGCGTGCGTTTGCCGTGAGTATCCGGCGGGATATGTTGCTGAGCGAGAAGCGTTTTAATGTATTCACCCCTCCCGCCTCTACAACGAGGAGAGTCGGACCGGGCATGCTAATTGCCCGCGGGACAATAGTGGGATTCTACGACGACGGCATGCAATTCCCCGGGCACGTCGTATCGTACATCGGAAATAACTTCGTTTTATTTCAGCCCACGTGTATATATGCGCGCAGCATGGGCTTGTCTTCCCGCGCTTTTACGACCCGTTTCCTGCGTATTTTCGACCTAAGAGTGACAATTGAACGATGCTGACGAGCGAGCCTGAAAACAGCTCATTTTGTAAGACGCTTAGGCAGACAATTAACCTATTTGCGCGGAGCGTATGACACGTCGCGTGTAATTTGTGATATCGCGTAAGAAGATCACATTGTTAGGATAGGCAGCAATGTAGAAAGTCTTAGAATTTTCTAATGGAGAAGCCGATCTCAAATCCGTCGAGAAATCTACGATAAATCGTATTAGATATGAACACCCGGTATATAGCGAAACAACTCGGATAAGAGAATTGTATAAATAACGCGGATTGCATGCAGCGAGATAAATTAAAGCTATACTCCTAGTGCAATAAATTCATGTAGTCCTAGTGATTTATTTCTCGATAAACACACCAAGTATATAAGGATTAACTGAAACGCACGAACGTCTCGTTAGTTATACGATTAATCTATCTCGTAATGACGTACACATTTCGATTAGTTTATAGTTATTTTACGGATAAAATTTTTCGACCTTTTCTTTTTTATTTTAATGTGTTAGATAAATTTTCATTGCAAAATATGGATGTTTATAAAATTTTTCGACCTTTTCTTTTTCATTTTAACGTGTTAGATAAATTTTCATTGCAAAATATGGATATGTATGTTTATAAAAGATAAATGCTTTGCGATAAAAATAATGTGACGATGTTCGATTAAAATACGGTATGAAAACTTGAAATTATTTTTAAATTATTCGTCAGTCAATTGTCAGTATCGAAATATCTAGATGCTCAAAAATTACTCGAGTCTCTCGGATATCCCTTTAAGCCCGTATTCATCAAGTACCAAGTATTTTACAGAATCATAAAACAAAATCAATTGATGTGATATCAACTATTGTAGAAATCAGTAACAAATAACAGACGGGAATATTATTAGATATCACTCGCTATCTTCATTCCAAGTGTATTTACGATATATATTTGAATACCGAATAAGTAAATCGATGCACAAGTATGACAAATAATCTACTGTTTATAATAATCTATATACTGATCGCACTAATCTTATAAAAATCGAGGTTATCTTCCAACCTCTCTTACGTCTAGCATAACAGTATTGATCTATTTATCTTGCGTCATTATTTATAATAAAGCAATATCGAAGAATCTTAAGATATCAAATATAGAAGGAAAGCGTAAATATTGTTGGAGTTAAATACTAAGTAATCTTAATATGTGAAAAATTTTGTCAATAAAGCTAATTATTCACCAATATATATCATTTTATGTAAAAGTTTAATCTTTGTTCATCATGTTACCTATTTCTCTTAGCTCTATGTATGAAGCATGCGAAATATGTAAGAATGGTTGAATACTTTAAGGGGTAAAACTTGGTTTCGACGAGACTATATGATTGATCTACACATATGGGGTAGCTACCCTCCAATAGACCGTGTGGCCTAACGGATAAGGCGTCGGACTTCGGATCCGAAGATTGCAGGTTCGAATCCTGTCACGGTCGGTGTTATTTTTTTTTCTTTTTCATTTAAATGACAAAGCATTCATAAAAATGAAATCGTGCGTGAAAAACCCTGCAATACATTTGAGAATAAGATGATGTATCATGTTATCATTAATGGATTAATTATTTTGTTAAAAAGAAAGGAAAAAAACATTTATATAGGCAATTATAGAATATCATTTTATAAATTCATATAAGCTCGGATATTAAGTGTAATTCGTAGAAGTACAAACTGTTGAACAAAAACAATCGCTTACGTTTAGTTGAAAGGAAGTTATAAAAGAGATAATGTATGAATATTTCTGAAAAAAAAGAACTTGAAATGGTGAAATCCTTAAATATGTAACTGCCTGTACGTATTTGAGAGAAAATACGATGCTTCTACAATATGCGGTAAGAGCAATTCCTCTTCGTAACAAGGGAGAGAGGGAGAGAAAAAGGAACACAGGAATATGTGTACATATTTATTATTGTATTTTTACTCAAGGGACAAACATCAAACGACGTGCACGTGTGTTCGAATACACCTACGTCGACCTACGACTTCAGCATCGATTAATTCTCCCTCTCTCTTTGCCGTTCTCCCTTCTCACTATTCTACCGCCTGTTCGAAAAGATCGTAGCTCACCAGGCATCTTCTATCGTCGAGAAATGAAATTATTTGCCTTAAGCAGACGATGCTTGCACGAAGGAAGCGTGGTAGAAAAGGACAACCAATATACATAGGCAAGAAAGAGAGAGACAGAAAGAGAAAGAGACGGGGATGGTGAAAGAGTCGTGGGAAGGGAGGTAGGGACGAAGCGAGAAGGAGGCGCGTTTCTAGTTGACCCATGACCGGAAGTCGTACGTGCAGCCTCGAGAACTGCAAGAGATCTGTTTGCGGAGAATCCGGCCACAGTTGGACGAATCCAAAGTAGGTGTGGTAATTTATATGATAAAGATTCCTAGCTTGGTTATATCTAACGTATCTAAGTATATTCCGATAACGAGGCGTTTCTCTTTTATAGCGTTTATTAAGCGTATTGAAATCGATGTTATCGATATATAGTTCTGCTGCGTATTGATTTTTAGCAGCGGGATGTTCGGGTATTTCGGGTGTCACTCGGACTAATCGGATAAAGTTTTCAGGATATCACCTGGCTGTCTGGGCTGACTGGTTATTTCGAAATCAGGCAGCTATAAAATGAAAAAACTCAGGCTTTCGAGAGAGAGAGATGAAGAGGTCAGTCAGCCGAGCGACCATCGACGTTAATCTCGGAACGAGACATTTTTCCCGTTTATGCGGCACGTAAAAATACGTGAACGAGAAAATTTATACAACACTACTCACGTCGTCCGCGGTGCTGACGTCGACGCCGCGCAGCAACAGGGTCTCGCACACTTCCATGTGACCACCTGCCGCGGCCAGCAACAGAGGCCCCCGGCCATTCTGAAACACGACAGGAATCTTGAACATCCTCACGCGCTCACGTGCCGGTAAGCATGCTCGCGATAAAACGCGCTAATTAAGAAGCTTGTGCCGAAAAAACACACCCGAAAGTGAATGTCTTATCGCCGTGGGTGACGCTTGACTCAATTTCTTAATCATTGGAAATCTGACTCTTCCCGGATACAAGTGATTGCATTACGAAATTTCCGTTTGTTTTTTTCTTTTTTAAGATCAATTCTCTCAGGGAAGTTGCAACAAACTTCTGGCAAGAGAGGAACGGTCAAATTCTCTCTTCGACAGTAGTCTTGTGTGTCTTCGTGTTTAGCATGACGTAAGTTCAACTCTACTATATTGGTTGGCTAGCGTATTTATTGCAACTGTTCCGGAGCGTTGCCGAGGTTGCGTGTCGAATGTCATCTTCCGGCGGAGCGACGATTAATAAATCGAGCCCGGCAGCGACGGGAAAAGTCTCGGCGGCGATTAATTTCATCGGCGCAATTAAGGCAGAAGCAACCTTAATGAGCGCGTGGATAATCGATCGGGTGGTCCATTCGTTCGTGTTTCGCGTCTCATTTGACAAATGCATATCGCGCCAGCGTGCCTATCTGCATTCTTAGTCCAACCTAACCTAACCCATCTAAGCAACCGTGAGCCGCACTGTGAGAGTCGTGCTGCGTAAGGGTGAATTAATTATTAGGAGAAATTAATATATATCGCCGCAACAGTTCTCACCGCTCAATGCCGTTAATAGAGTTTTCTTCCCAGCTAATATCATAAGCAACTACAAGAATTTAATAAATTTAATTTTGCGAGATACATATTTCATTATGTTTAATAATTTATTGACATCTCTCAACGTTTCTGTATTTTGTTCTTCAGACACTTTCGAAATAATAAATTGAATATTAATATTTAAAAAATATATGTGTATATAAATAATAAATAAATATAAGAACAATTAATCTAAACATAATGATCAATTGTTGTCCCATTAATTGCGAAATCACTGCAACAATTTTGGAATCAGTAATAAAAAATTTTGCCGATGTTTACAAGGATCACCCTGTACATATTTCTATCAGTAATCAAGGGTTGAAGGACTATACCTCGTCGGGCAATGGTTTAATGTCTTCGTCGAGCAAGCGTGTGACTCGAGCAACATCGCCACGAGCAGCCGCCTCGCGCAACTTTTCTGCCATTCCAGTCGCGCATCTGCAACAAAAACAACAAAATAGTATTTTATACAAAGCAAGCAACACGTGACAGACGATTCAAGCACATTGTAATTCCGATAAATTCAAATTTCAATTTCTTCTAATCCGTAAAATATGCTAAGGTGATTCTCCTCATTAACGACAATGAGGGGAAAGCTATTTTACTCTGATTTTCAATATAATGCTTCACATGCATGAAGTATTACATTAATATCCCGTTACAGTAAAATCACCGTAACTGTCAGAGTTACATATCTTCCAACGAGAACAAAGGTATATACGCGGCGCCATTGTTTCCAGAGAGACAATGGGACTTTTCTTTTTTTCTTACTAGTTTTCTTGAAAAGAAAGAAAACACATGTTTTCAAAACGACAAAACAAAATGGAGAAATAAGAGGAAGGAAGAAAGAATAAAACCATTGACTTCAGTTACTGTTTTAATAATTTTGAAAAGAAAATATTCTTTTATAAATTCTATTTTACCCCATAACTTATATATATATATATATATATGCAAATAACAATGAAACCAAATAACAGTTTAAAATTAAAGTCAGATTATCAAGCATCGAACATTAAAATTGGAATATATATGAAGTCTACGAATTGAATAAAATTCCTTCCGAGCAAAACCGCTCAGCTTCGAGCTAACCCAAGAAGTCCGTATTGAAGTTTACGCGTATAATTTTTCAGCACCCTGTATCTATATTGCTGCTTGGGTTCCTGTCGTATAATCCGTGTAACGCGTGGACAGTAAATTATCCTGATGCTCGGCGCGGCGGTATATGATCTAGGATCCGAAGTGCGTCTGCTAATGAGGTAGACTATTACACTCCCCTGACGGAGCTCAGCCCGTCGTCCGTTTGGAACATTAATCTCGCTCGCGATTACTTCTTTTTGGAGCTGTAACGATTCCAGAAATAACGCCGACGTTGAAGGAACGAAAGTACCCTGCGAGCGGATTTACGAGCCGCACGTCTCGTGAAAGTACCGCCGAGGTGTGAATTAATACACGATTCGAGCGAAAAATAATCGATAATCCTCGCAATTCAAATACAAAATGCATACGCCGAATGGACTTGGCGCGCTTAAACGCTTAAAGCATGATCTGCAACGACGCTTCAGGAACATTGAATTTCCACGAGCACTCGGCCGGAAACCAAATAAAATCGTTAATCTAGGGCGATCTTATTAAAAATCGTTTCTGCCATCCCGTGCTCGTTCCTCGCCCTTCGCGCCTGAGCGCGCGACAAACCGTCGGTTATATCGCGCAACAGAGAGGTTGCGCTCGATTGCCGCTGCACCCCCTTTTAAAATGGGCGCGCCCTAACGTCCGGCCGTAACGTAACTGTCACGTGACGCGCGGCCGTATAGCGCCGAATTCGAGACGCCATGCCAGCCGGCCGGCACGCGACGACGGAATCGCGCATCGCCGCCAACCGCTCGAATGCCGATGCGCGCGAGTGACTGCGGGCGCACGTGCGAATGCGGTTTTCGCTGTTGAGGTTAAGCTCTCAAAGCAGCGCCGCTCGAACTCGTTTGCGATGCCGGGCTATATCTGCCGCGAAAGAAGCCGGGAGAAAGGCGAGTCCCCCGAAGTCCGGAGTCAAAAACCTGAGCGAAAGCTCTGACATCATGAATGCGCCCTCTCGGAATAACTTTAGCCTTTGCTGCAGTGGCTCTTGCGTCGGGCAAAAAAATCGGAGAAGGAGAAAACGTGTTCTGTCCAATCACAGCCAGCTTCCCTGGCTGCCCCTTTTCTTATACGCGACAAAACCTAAGCTCACCGATAAAGGTAACCGGTGTTGTGGCGGTTAAAACCAGCAATTTCATCGTGTTTATTTTATCCGCGACATCGATGATAGTGCGTCCCGCGAATCATAGTGTTTCCTGCCACGATCACGCCGCGACATTATTATACCAGCAGGGCCGGCTTTATAGTATCTTCCACGCTTCTCCGCCGGCAAAGAGATTAGAGCAACTCCAGGAGAAAATGCACCCAATTACAACACAATCGGCTTGTTCCGTCTTTCTTCTTTACCTTTTTAGCTTTTAACGCTGAATACCCAAGTGATTAAGCGTCATGTTAGATGCCAGTTTTAACAAGGACTATTTAAAATTAAATGAATGAAGCTCGTCGACTCAACGTTTGCGTAAGAATTAAAACAAAATATACAAAAGTATGCACGCACCGCTTATAGCTTTAATTAAGACATAAATGTCACGACATAAATATATATTTTTTAATGGCTACAGGGCAACGCTCTGAGTTGGCTCAAGTACTTAAAATTCACGATGATAAAATTCACGACGAGTATAGAAAAAAAAGTGCAGGATCTCTCTTAGAGTATATAAAATCCCTCTGGAAAACTATCCCTATCTGCAATATTATCGACGGCAGCTTAACGAAATTGCTGTCGTAAGTGTTTCCAATCGTGGTATCGCTGACAGCCGACCTAACGACTTAATACCATGCCAACAGTATCAAGGTCGTTGTTAATTATGATCCTGCATACGGAAAGCGCATCATCGACTAGCGAGAAGGAAATTTGCGAGGGAACTTCGAAAATTGCTGGTCTCCGCCCGCTATTAATCACACGTATCCGCCATCTTGGCGAAAGGAAAGGGAGGAAGGGACGCGTAGTAATGCCGCATTGGTCTTTACGTGTCTTAAAAATTGCGACGACAGGGTGTGGTGCCGACAGGGCATAACAGCTAGGTTCGTGGATGTGCGCCACGGCGCTAAAGCGTCTTACTCGTAATTCTTTTGTTTCAACTCACTAAAGCAAAAATTGTATAAGTTTCCACAAGTTTCAATCCCTCTCACCACTCCATTTTACATTTGCGGGTTTCCACTTTTATCTCCACTTTTATCCCCGTCATCTTCATCTGAAATTCTGCTTTTACTCTTACAAGCCGCGTGATGCGGGTTTTATGCGTCCCATAAGCAGCCGACCAATCGCAATAAGCCGCCGTAAATGATCGGCGCACCATAATCTCCTCGCGGCCCAACGTTTCCATCGCGCCGTATTTATCACAGGGTGCTCATTTTTTCAGAAGTTATGACGCTCCGTCATAAAGCTCCGGCTATCCCGCTGTTTTAGCGCAACCCAAGTTCGAAGAAGCTTATCGATCACAATCGGTTCGTCGTCTGTGGGCAATTTATCCGTTGCGATATATCTGTTTGGCGGTGGAACGAGTTATATAGGTGCATTACGCTGCGGGCGAATGCCCGTTTCGCCGCATTTGGAATCCGTCATATTCCCTAGGGAAATTTAATGGGACCGTTCTGTCGTCGGCAAAACTCCGTCATACTTGAGTTTTATTAACCGGAACGCATCTCCCGGCGTTTTTATACCAATTGAACGACGTTGCGGTACGTTCCGGTCCACTTCGGGCGCAGCCCTAATGGTTGTGCGAATAGAATCACACTGGGTGTGCCATCGATACGGGTGTACCATCCTCCTAGTCTGAAATTCTCGGAGCTTGGCACTTCGCGATTACGGCGAGAGTGCGCGGCGCGCACGCGTTTCTTATTGGAATATTTGTCGCGCGTCGTCTTCTTGTTTTCCGCATATTCAAACATATACATAAACTATTCATGAGCGAGACGGCGGAGGTCATAAACAGCAGCTCCGCAAAACACACCGCACTTAATTCACTACAATTCCTTCAACCCTCGAAGAATGTGTCAACTCGTCGAAGAGCACTTTCGCGAAAAAGTGTTTTCGAAAAGAGGAAGATACAGATTATTGAAAGAATGGATTAACTGCCGAAGCGTAGTGAGCTGTGAATCCCCCAAAAAATGTATACAAATGGCCACTTGAAAGGACACACCTCACCCGTGAATCATCCGCTGGGTATGTGCCATTTGATTTACATCGGATAATAATCTCGTATCTCGACCGACAGTACTTGGTACTATTTCGATACTAACTTATTATCAAAGATAGATACGCGCGTACGCACCCCACGTCGTTTATCTTCGTCGAGTATGTTACCTTGCATGGTCAACCACGCCCAGGAAAGGGTTGCCAACCTGTGTTCCTTTCGATCCGATGGGCCGATTTTAATTATTAGACTTCGCGCAAAGGAAATCCCCCTTTGGATACTCGCTAAATACCGAATAATTACCCAATCAATCGTCTTCTGGAATGAGAGGAGACGAGAAGAGAAAAATGTCGCTCTATCGTAAATAAACGTCGAGAGAGTAACAGTATCATTGCAATAGCATTATAATCTCCCACTCGACAGTGTAAGCGCGATAATGTATGCAATAATTACATGTTATTAATTAGCCCTCCCTGGTGCAATTGTCGCAATTAATAATGTCGATTAACCTTCTTGTCACATTTGGAAGAATTCGGAAATTGCCGACGTATCGACGTATCGACGTTCTCCGCGACTCGCGGTATTCGGTTATTCCACGGTCCTTAACGAAGCAATAGTTAACCGAGACGGCACTCTCGTTCCCGCATCGCGGCAGCCGCGATTGCAACGCGATTCTACCCGCGCGTGGCCGTCCAGAGAACCGGGCGCGACACACACAAAGGCAGAGCTTGCCCGGGCTTGCGGCGTGCGCCCTAACCCGGGGAATACCCGGCAATTATCTACTCAGTCGTCTCGCTGCCTTCGACCAAACCTCCCGTCCGCCCCTTCTCGCGCATTCCTGCGCATTCCAGCCATTATCCAGCCTCTCCGCATTGCGAGAAACGACCCTACGTCGTAATGACGGCGCGAGCCGAGAAATCCACTTCATTCGAGGATTAAACGCACAAATTACACCCGAGCGCGGCGCTCTCGTCACACAAAGTGCCCCCGGTCGTTGCGACCATTAACGCGGGAAGGGGGCTTTCGTCTGGACGGGGGGCCAGGAAGATTATCGACCGTCACATTTTTGCGCTTTGCTATGAAAATAAACTCTTCTACTCTCTCTCTCTCTCTCTCTCTGAGCGACCGTGAACAAGTCAAGCGTACATTTGATCAATGGAGCTTCAAGGGCGCGTATATTTAAACACGTTCAATCGCGGCAGGCTCGCTAACTGAATCGTCGAGCGATCTTCACACTTTCACGGCTAAGTTCATTCAAACGGGGAGAGCGCTGGAAGAAGGATAGAAAGCGATCGGTAAGCGGCGGCGCGCGCGCGATATCAGCCGGCATTTATATTACTTTTTCGAACTCGCGGACGGATACGATTGCATAATTTAGTCGTGGCGCACGGCGTTGTCGCGAGCGAGTAGCCGCGGCGCCGCCACCACGTGTGAACGTACACATGTACCACCACGTGCGCACGCGAACGAACACTCGCGCGTGTAACTCGCGCGAAACCGGTATCTGCGCCTTCCACGTAAACCCCTTTCGGGATGTACAGGACGCTCCAACGAGCTGTATAACCTAGATCAATGGCAAAGTCCCCAGCGCATATCGCCGATAAATTACACACACCCGTGTGTACTTGGTAACTACGTGTAATTGCAAGCGACTGAAAATGAACGACATTTTGCAAATTATGACGTCCACCGGCGTAAAATGCTATGGAATCTTCGTTCTTCCCCGTTGCGCATTTTAAGCGAACGAACCGCCGCAACGTCTAATCACCGACGTGTTTAACTTGGAAAATTAGGGTTCAGTCGGATCGGAGCGAGAAAGAGGCGACGCTTCTCGGTCTCCGCACAACGACAAATATATCCGCAGAACGCCTTGCACAATCAACGCTGGAGATACAACAAGCCTCTGCGATTATTACACGCTTTTAGCGGCTGAAAGACTCACCGGGCTATAAGCACACTTACCAGCCATATACGCTTATCCAGAAGGCATCGCTTGCGAGAGTAATCCTTAATCCGTGTCGAAACGCCAGACGGGCGGTTCGTCCTTCACAAAATCCACTGGCGAGCAAAAAGCACAGAGCTACACATCGCTGCCACCTTACAGCACTCCGAACCAATTGTCGCACTGCAGAATCGACTTTCTTGCAGGTATCACGTAGCGCACGGAGATCGTCGATCACTGGGTATAGCGGATCATCGTCGGTATAATGTTACTTGGACCCGACGGGACTCACTTCACGACGAGATCATCTGTCACGGTATAACGTTCCAAATGGCAACCCTAACGTCGCACTTTAACGTTTTTTCGAGAAAACAATATTCCCGACGCAGATTGCGACGGTGACTTTGCATCCGTGCAGTCCCTGTGATCAGTCGTAAGCAGAATCGTTTATTTCAGTCGAGAAAGTAAACGATGAGAATTGCAAAGCTTGCAAGCTAATGGCACGTTTGATGTTTACTTATCGAGAGCCGACGATAAATAGACAGCAGCCGGCGATCGTTACAGCGGGATCTAGATTTTCGTTCTTTTCAAGGGAATATTTACACGCTGCTAAGTAGTAACGTTAGCAGTGAGCGTGCGAGTCTTGATACAGGAGAGTAATCAATGCGTGCGTACTCGACGATGTGCGGACAAATTCAGCGACTGTTAAATTTTAACGCAAGCCGCAGTAGGCGCCGTGTCCCGGCGGAGACTTCAACGCTCGCACAGGCAATCGTATACGCCAACTACTATTGGCTACTTCACGATGGAAGACGTGAATAATGCAGCAAGGTTCCGTTCGGAAGAAATCACGAGATTGGTAATACGAAATAATGAGTTGGAAATAAATTAGGATTTATGCGGCTTTCAACACACACATCGACATATCTCACAGCAATATGGCCAACGTGTTCCCCCAAACGATCACTCTCAACACCACAGCGAATTAAAAAGTCAAACGATCTCTCGGTCGAAAAGTTCGATCGAGTTCGATCGAGAGGATTTTTTTCAGTTCGATGAAAGCGATTTGTCGAATTTGCACAGTCCTCGGAAGATACTTCTTTTCTTTCAGTACTGAGAAGCCGCGGTCGCAATTTGTTGATGAATTTTCTGGTCACCCGAAATCAACCCTCGCACTTTCTCCGCCGAATTCCCATTTCGTTCGCAGCACGGACATTACAAATCACTCGAATTTGTCCGACGCGAGCGCGCGTGTGCGGCCGCGCGACATAATTCTTTCACCTCCGATAACATATCCTCCGAATTTACGACCGCGTATCACCGACGCGAGCAAGGGTTTTTCAATGTGCACTTTCGAGGACGCGTTCCTTCGGAACGGTTCGTCTCGGAAGACTCGGAAAGGCGGCCGTACCAAGACTGGTCGCGTCGAGAGAAAGCCGCGAATCGCGAGCGAGCAGTTCTCCAGACCAGGGCAGGCGCAAGGCATCGACTCGGTGAAACTTGTAGCTACCGAGAAGCGCTGTTCACGGGCTGTAACTCTACTTGAAGAAGCCAACGGAGGAGCCAACAGAAGCTGCCTCGGGGCTTGTACAATTTCATCGTGGACTACGTCGTCTCCATCAGCCTGACACAATGATTACTTCTCAAACCTCAAATTTAAAGAAAAATGTTTCTTCGAGCATATAGTTGGATGCAAATAAGTCAACATGTCCAAAATATATTGAGTCATTATTTCATTTCCATAATATCTCATGACGTTAAGGTAGGCTGATACAACCACCCATACGCTAATTAAGAGTCGATGGCGATGGGTTTCGCAGCCATAGCGCTTCGTTTTCGTGCTGTTGTTACGACTATTAGAAACGAAAAAATTTGGTAAGATACGTAGCGACTTAAACTTTAATGAAAATTTGACTTTTCGTCGAGTCCTCGTTGTTCCCAGTAATGGTGGGCTACTGTTCTTGATGAGAGACATAAGTAATTACATATATCTCATAAACAGGTGTAGAGCAATCTCTTGCGTTGCATTTGAATTTCTCGTTTAAGTCGAATGTGGGTAACTTTCAATTCATCAGCCGGCACTGTTCCCCACTGTACCCCTACCTGTGCAACGTCATTCTCTTCAGATTCTCTCGCATCCCTGCCGTTTCGCTTCGACACAACCGGACTACTCCGACTACTACGAATCTGTTATGTATCGGCCAATGGCGTAACTAATGATGGCTCTTTACTTATGTATAAAGACATTTACTCACTATTCGAGTGTCTTTCGAATGTGATTTTATGAAATTACTCATCATCACGCATAGCCGAAGATACAAGTAAAAATTTCTCATAATGAAGCGGCAACTTCATAAACTTGCATTATATATCAGTTATCGAAGAACGAACAGTATAAAATCGCTATGAGAGATACAGCAAACTTCATAGAAAACAATTAAGAAGCAACGAACGTTGCTCCGGAAAGTTCATCATGTCAGGCTAAGAAAATTTTAAGTAAAAAAAAAGAAATAATTTGGCTTCACTAACGGGCGAAAATGTCGGCCAAAGTAAAAGTTCCAACTTTTAGAAAAATTATAAAATAACGCAATAAATATTACATAAAAAAAGAAAAACAAGAAAAATGGAGAGGTAAATATATTCTGACCTTCTTAGCATAATTACTGAATAATCTTGTCTATTAACACATGTCTTAACACATTATAATTTGATCCGACAGATCATTTGTGCGACATCAAAGCGACGAAATGGACAAAGAAGATGACCGTGCGATTTCACAAATCACAACAAAATAAACCTATTAGCCGTTAAAATTAATGACAATGTTCAAAAAGTAAGCAAATTACAAAAAGAAATTACTGTTAAAAATTGGAATGTAATTTTTTTCAATTTTGTCATTTTTTGTGTAAAATGCATGTTTTTTATCGACAATACATACGCGCGAGCGCGCGCACTTCTATCTATCTTATTACTGTATGAGTTATATTCCTTATTTCCGATATATCTTTATAAATTTATTTCACCTTGTATATATAGAATTTTGCGAGAACTATTTCATCTTGCAACAAGCTCTATTGCATACCATTTTAAACAAACAATAGCTCTGGCTGGACTTGAATGACAAATTATAAACACCAAAATAAAAATAATGCGTTCCATCTTTTCTCGTATTCCTGAAAAATTACCAATGGACGAAGCTCAGGAAATGAGCGACAGTAAAATACGTAAAATTCGATTAACCAGTCGGACAGGTGAAAACGAAATTCGTAAAATTGAACGTGCTAAGAATATGATTGAGGACCTAGAACATTACGGGCCAGCCAGTCTGATACACGTTCCCGTCTTAAGTAACATAATCGGAAAATCCATCAAGATATGGAATACTGATAGCAGCATGAACAGCATTATCGGCAATAAGAAAATAGGATCAGCAATAAATATAGAATACCATGCAAACCGTCTGGGAGGAATAGGTCAGTTTGTAGGCTGTGAAGGATTTTGAACGAAAATGTGAAACATGTGTGATCCCATGAGATTTGGCGAAGAATTTATATTTTATTTTAAATATAAATATATTTATTTTAAAGTGGTCATATTGATCAATCCAGTTTATGTATAGCTGGAGTTAAGTTTTTCCTACCCTATCCCCACAAATCCTCTCCTAATCCTCGTTTAGGCCATTGGACTCTGATGCAAGCTAAAGACCCCGACAACACCGACTTCGATTTGAATAGTTGCCTCTTTTCGGTAATCGGCTCGCAAACCGGGCTGAATCCATCGGAACTTCGTAGATGGACAGTGTTGAGACTCAGAAGCAACCTTCGGCAATTGGCTGACCAGCTGGACGAGATCTTTCAATTAGAAGAAATCAATAATGACATGGTTCTAATGATTGGCGGGGCTCGTTACATCGGAACCTCAGCTTACGACGCCAAGTTAGTCTTGGACAATTCGCAAAATGCCGAATGTTATGCGTGTACACAAAGAGGTCATCCTAGAGGTCACGCATCATGCCCTCCGAACACGTCGTACGGTTACACAGACAGCGTAGAGAATTACTCACTGTCCACAAATAGAAACAAGAGCGGTTTTCTATCACGAGATGATCAGGATAAAGTTGCTCATTTGGCCTTAAGTACTGATCATGCTCAAGCTGCTATGGAAAAGCTTGACTTGAACGGTTCTACGAGCGAAGTAGTAAATATAAATGGTTACCTACTGAGGAAAGAGTTAAGAAATGGAAATCTGCCTAAAGCAAAATGGTTTCGAGCAGGGTACCCCGTCGGAGACGAAATGGACATACAACAAGTATGCATGGTATTGAGACATCACAAGGAGCACTTTCGCGACCGAAATAAGGATGTTTTCGTCCACACATGTTACCCAATAATATAAAATAACAAAGGGGTACATGTATACCTAGGTAACTTTCAGTAACTGAGAAATTACTCATTTCGAGAGAATTAAATCTGCTATTGCAGATTTATTCGCTTTGATCGCGCTTTATATTCTTTCTACATTCTTAGAAATTATAGAAAAAAAATTGTAAAAAGATGCGATTAAAATATAACTTCTAATCTATTCTTTGTAGTAATATCATGTACACTCCTCTGCTCGTGATCTTTCCGAAAGTAGGAAAGGTACAATTATTTCATCTTAAATGCAAAATATGTGTATAGTTACTCAGAGATTTTCTCAGTAATTGTACATATAAGTATTTACATCTTCACTTGTATATCAATCACTTGTTAAAAACCACACTTGCTTTTATGTTTCAACAAACTTTTTGGACTTCGCTCGGAACACTGCAGCAAGCAGCGAGCACCAATGCTGACGCACCACTGTGATTTATCTTTTGTGGCATGCGACAGCATTATTTTCTCCTAATAAGGAACATAGCAGAGGCAGATAAAATGCTGGATCATATACGTCGCTGTTCTCGTATAAATCGTCGTCCTAGAAAAAGAGAAAAGAATAAAAAAATATTCCTAGGTACAATTTGATTCAACAAGATAAATGACAAAAAATTTGTATGAAATATAAAAATCCTGCAATATTTCTGACTTAAACAAAATAATTCTTTTTACCGTCAATGCTCTGTGAACGGGATAATTCCTTATGGTTTCGCTGACGCGTATGTCCGCATCAAATAAGTTAAATGTTGGACTTTCTTGAGGCTCTCTTTACTCACGCAACTTTTTACGTTTTTCGCCGCAATTACACACTGAAGAATATTCGCGTAGCGAACGAGTAACTCATTCGGTGCGTTTCTAGGAAAATGCATCCTTAGTTTCAAAAGGATGCTAAATAGCAGATGCTCGTAATGGATTGTATTTTCCGTTAAGCTATCCAAGCTATTCAACAGATTCTCGATTATGGTAATAATAGTGTCACTTTCCACTTCACAAGCGTCAAAACGATTGATAATCCCATATAGCCATGGTAGTATGCCATATCCTCGTATGAGAAGTAAAGACGATTTCGGAATCCTCGTGGCATAAGCGAGAACTTCCAGGATAATTTTCTAAAAGAAATGAAAAAAAATATCCAACTTATATTTATAAATCAATCTTCAATTTAACCAAATCTCCAACTTACCTTGGTCTTGGTGTCTGACAGTATGCAAGTATAAAAATCGAAAAGCATCTTAAATAATACGCATTTTAGGGCCACATCCATGTCACAATCTTCTTTGATACCGTCCCGGATATTTTCCAGGATCCAATGTCGATGTGCTTTGTGCTCTACATGCGAACTGTGCAATAATTGCAACAGTTCGGGTATAATAGTCAGATCCAACGCAGGTTTAGCCATTAAAAAGGTATGCAATGGCGAGTAAAGCGGATGTAGCGGTTGGCTAGCAATTAACGCAGTCCTGGCTAGGAAAGTGGTTACCAAACAATTCAAACGGACGTCTTTTAACGGATATTTTAATGATACAACGCCATTTCGCAAAGCGTCGATCAAACGCATCCACAGCAACTTTTCTTTGGACCTTGGTGAATTAAAAAATTCAGATTATTAACTTTTAATTAAATTTCCTATATGTTGTAATCGACCACTTATCCAGATTAATATCGTACCTGGATGCTTCCAAGTGAAAGTAGTATCTCGAGATAATAGTATACGCTGCCATTCGAACATCGCTCGAAACACTGCAACAAGCAGCGAGCACCAATGCTAACGCACCACTGTGATTTATCTTGTGGCATGCGACAACATTATTCTCCGCTAGTAAAGAGCATAGCAGAGGCAGGTAAAATGCTGGATCATATACGTTGCTGTTCTTGTGTAAATGGTCATCCTATAAAAATAGAAAAGAATAAAAAATATTCCTAGTTACAATTCAATTTAACAAGATAAATGACAAAAAATTTGTACGAAATATAAAAGTCCTGCAATATTTCCGACTTAAACAAAATAATTCTTTTTACCATTAATCCTCTGTGAACGGGATAATTCTTTATGGTTTCGCTGACCATGTCCGCATCAAATAAGTTAAATATTTCGGAAGTAGATGGTTGCCGCCAGAGAGCACTGTCCGTTTCTCCTTTTATGCTGTAACGTATCGCTGCTGTATTTCCCCATAGATATGGCCAGTATTGTTGAATGTTTATATTATGAGCTTCGTAGTGCTGAAGAATCTGTGATAGTTAGGTGATATTATGGCTCAAGTATTCCTTTTGAATGACACAGTAAGCATAAAATGTACGTGACAACTCTTACTTGCAAAATACGTTGGTCAGTATGGCTGAGAGTGGCGTTATAGGCTGCGAGATAAAGAGGCACGTGGGAGACAGTCATTATCGATGAATTTTTTCGTATCAGTATCCTCAATAAATCAACCAAACTGCCTATAATCATACAGTAGTCGAACAATGGTCAAAATCGTCAACATGTACTTCATAAAGTAACGAAACATATTAATTTCATCAGTATAATACTTTATAAATAATACATAAACAGCCGCACAATTGTAATACGTCACGGGAACAGGCTCACCTTTAACATTGGAGGACCCAAGCATGACGTTAATAAACTCCGAATGGGATGTCGCCATCTCGAACAACGTTTTAGCGTACTCGTCGTCAGTATTATCTTCAAACGCAATATCACACAGATTACTCAGAGTCTGCAATATACTTGATTGAATCTCTTCGTCTCCAGCATTCTTCAGACTAAACTTCAGGGAAAATCTGGTGAATTGTGGCCACGAAGAACTCTTGCTGAGTGAACTAAAGGTGGACGTACGTATGACTTTCCTTAAGCAAATTACTGTACTGTCTAGCTTCTCACATAAAACTTTAAGCTTCTCTACATTCTTGGATTCCTTTTTCAACGTCGCAGTCATCACGTGCAACAGAATTTTTATTAGATCCATCCAAGGATCCTCTTTAACAGATACTAGAGCTTCGTACCTCTTATATAGACTTTCCAATAATTGTACGAAACAAATAGATACCATGTCCAGTTTATCACCACTTTGAGAAATACTATTGCAAACTTTCTCGCATATAGCAATATCGAAAGTGTTCTCAATGAGATAGACAACTGCCTCAACGTTTTCCTTGATCCAACAGACAGGATTTTGTGGATCGGTTAAATATGCGACAATATCATCGCCGTAGCACTCGTAAAGACTATGAAGAAAGTTGTTATTCCATTTATACTGCAAATTGCTGCCCAATATTGGGAATACAATATCTCTTTGCTTTATTCGCTCTGGGTCGTCTGTTTTAAGAAAGTATTCCACCAAAGGCGGGATCAGCTTGGTATTTCTAGCAATCAAAGTTGTTATCAGCTGAACTGTGGACGTAGTAATGCCCTTTGCCAACAAGCACATGAAAGTGGACTTGTTGAAACTGGCGATATTACTTGGGAAGGTAGACAAGTATTCTGCTAAGGCTTGCTCCCATTTATCCACGTGATCTATTTTTTTAGACTTTAGATGAACCAGGTGCAAACTCAACCTTGCCACAAATTGGTCATCTAAAACGTTATTTTGATCAAGATATGATATCGACTCTTTGCTACGTGATATATCCAACAATACTGGCACAGTATACCCAAACATGGACAGATTTTGTTTATCATTCGAAATAAATGCAGTTTTTTGCTGCTTTATCAAAGCAAGCAACAGGTTTGCCATATCTTGCGTTCTCAACTGTAATATTCTTAAAAATTCAACAATAATATCATAGTTATTGTTGGAAGAATTTGGAGGCTTTTTTTCAATAATATTTTTTAATTGCGCTAAAAACTTATCTCTAAATGCTGTGAAAATATAGTACAGTCTTGTGTCATCATATTTGTTCTGTACAACTTTGCAGATTTCCAGAATAGTTTCGGTAGTCATACCTTTCATTGAATTTTTTAGTGTTTCTTCCCAAAATGGTGAAAAATAATGCAGCAGAATAGGGTGAGTAAAGATACATTTTACGCTTTCTTCGACTATTAAAGAATTTTCTTGATCCATGGATTGTGCAATATTTAGCAAACATATAAGCATGAATCTGCATTTTTCATTCTGATCATATCGCATGATCTCTCGTTGTATTAATTGAGTCAAATAAAACATGGTCATTTTTAGCAACATTCTGATATCGTACAAGGATAAAGAATGCTTAATTATGATCTCTTTATCGCCGTATTTAAAGCAACATGATAAAAGGCCGTTATTGAACAGTTTAGAAAATTCGGCAATGTCCAACTTAGTATCTGTCAGCAACATATTACTCACTTTGCGAAATACCTTTAAAGACGGCAGCTTGGTTTTTAAGAAAACTGGATGGCTATTACTTAACCAACTCTGAAGGTACTTGTAGACTGACAAGTTGGGCACATCCGTTGTCATATGTATTAACAGTTCCGGGACAACTTGGTGATGTAAACTGTGGACCATAACGTAAGACAAATAAGTTACAACGACAACGGGACTGTCTTCGTTTACTTTTTGAAGCGCACAACACAAAAGAGGTGACACTGATGTGCAAGTTTGCATTCTGAAGGATCTAAAGTCTTCTTTGTGAAGCTTATTGAAATAATTATCAGTCATCTTAATTTCTTCCACATCAAGATTAGCCAGTTGCTCGTTAATCAGAGTCAACGCTGATGTAGAAGAAGCATTGTGATTAATTTTGTCTGGAAAGCCATTATCATTTCCCTCACTAATTAATTTGTCGATAATTTTTTTGGTCTTTTCAACATTAAAGTTATTTAGAGTAATATTTTTTGAGTTTTCTTTGTACTCATGGTTATTGATGACATTGTTAATCGTATCATTTTTTTTCGTATCTAGATCAGTTAAAGGTGACTCTGGTGTGGAAGATTCTTTATGGGGTTCTTCATTAGCTTTAATGAACAGTTCATTAATTATATCTTCCGCTTTTTCAACATCAAAGTTGGCTATCCGTTCATTTATAATCTCTTCTGTTTGCGACATGTTATTTATATACTTATCAGTATGCCTAATAGCACTTTTGAGAACGGATATGAACCATTTTGTCAACTCCTCATACTCTTTAGGATCAATTATTACCAAGAAGCCATTGATCCAAATGTCCATTTGATCGTTGCAAGCTTCAAATAAACCTGTCGCGTTTAATAATGACTTAGCGGTATCATAACTTTCTGGTATGGTTTTCTGACGAATGAGAGATATGAGAAAGAGAAGAGTTTCTTTGAAAACCTTTCCTGCAGGCGCGAAAATGGAGGTGTCCATGATTAGCAGAAACTGTATCGCCTTGACTTTCATACGTATTATTTTGTCAGCATTCATTTTTGTTTCGTTATTGTCAGCTTCGAGATTATTCAGATTTGTTAGCAGTAAACTTGATTGCAAATCGGTTGAATTATTCAACAATTCTGGACAAATTTCCTTGTATGAATGCAGGTTACTCAAGATAATGTCGAGGTGATCCAGAATCTCTGGATTTTGAACGTTTTCCATATTTTCCGGAGCCGTCACATTGGCATCAAATGCTCGCTTCCACACCTTTAAAATCACTTCGAAGTTAGGAATGTTTCTCAGAACAAAATCGGTTATTTGATTTTGAACTGCGACTGTTTTTAATTCCTTCACGGCTAGAGAAATAACTTTTATCTGACGAACTATTGCCAGAAGAAGAGTCAGAGCTTCATGTCTAACCAAAAGACTATCGTGTTCTAACCCTGGCAAAATGGCATTTTTCATAATCGTAATCGGAACCGTTAGGAACAGTAGAGCATTTATCAAATTATTTATAGTTAATTCAACAGAACAGATCTTGATACAAGTGGCTGGATTGACCGATTCAATTATCTGTAAAAAGAAAGCTTAGCTTATCAGAATGAAAAGATAGTGTGGTATAAAGCAACAATCATCGCAGCGTATATATAACATCATTATTTTACCTTTTTGACAAATCTGAGAAGACAAATCCATTTGGGCGACACTCGCGGTTCAAGGAATGGCTCGACGCTGCCATATTGCGAACGGATTAAATCTGGGCAAGCTTTCATTATTTTAACAACTAAATCGGATGGCTTTTCATGCTCCCATGGCTTCTCCAAGTTCTGTAGAACTACATGCACCACATGATTGTGTTTATTTCGCGAGCCACCCAACGTGCGGTCGTGAAAAATAATCCCGTAACGATGTGATGTCAGTAGGGTGAGTAGAAATTCGTGAACCACATTGCTAACAACCTATATTGTAATCAAGGAAAATTAACAGATAAAAGTAAATAGTATCAAGATCCACAACAACAGACATTGATAACATCTGCTAAATTATATTTATTCAATTGTTAATAAAAGATCAATTGTAAATTGATCTTTTATTAAGTTCTTATCAAGAATCATTCTGTATAAAGTTATAATTATAATTACCTCTTTATTTGCTAGAAACTCATCACCGTTATCAATACTGTGATTCTCTTTCTTGGACCGACTGTTTGGGCCTTTCCAATTGTACAGTGAAATTAGATTTAACACAACAGATGATGGAAAAGCATGCAATTTGATCGTTTTGCTGATGTTGGTGTTCTCCAGTACATATGTCCTCACAGTGGTCAAGACCAAGTTGATAATGTCTTTTGAATCATATATGAGGTCTGGAAAGATACAGGAGAGCAGATTGTTCTTGTCCAACAGCATTTTGATCACTGACGTGTTTCCTTCCACAAGAAATGCAAGAACAAAATAAATGAAACACGTCCTGACATTCTGGGAATCTGCATACTTGCTGTGTCGTACTAAGCTCTCTAGTACTTGATGTTGCAGTGACAAATGAGCAAGTAATTCCCTCGAGAGATTGCTACCTAAAGATACTATAGCTGCCAGCAACTTCAGCATTACTTTGCGTTGCTTAGTATTGCTTTGAATTGAGAGCATGGAGTGTACGATGGACATGTGGGAATTCAATAAATGACGGCAAGATTCTACTGCATTGTTTTGGTATACAGGATACTCAGCTAGAATTCTGTAAGCAATGATAAATATACTTAATAATTTATAAAAAAGAATACCACACATGTTAAAAAATTCCAAGCTATAAACTAAATCCTGTATCAACTGTTATATTAAATATCATAGATATTTAATTTTAATTCACAAAACTTAGTTTACAATCTAATAATGATTGCATATATTGCTTTAGAAAGCATACTTCATGAGCAAAATATTCACCACGGAGAAGACAGTGGTAACATCAATGTTCTTTCTGTCAGAAGAGTCCAATAGCTTCAAGATTTCAAGAACACTACCATTAGCAAGTAGGTATTCCGCTGCAAGGTCCTTTTCCTTGTTCTCATTGCAAATTATCACAAACTTCTTCAGAGCGTATGTGCAATTGGAAGTAGATAAAAGTTTCCTGAAGTATTTTCCATTAAATTCATTCCGCATTTCATTGAAAATATTATCCTTTGCATTATCTTTATTGGAATCTGCGTTTCCCTCCGTTATATTTTGCTCTTTTTCTTCTTCAACGAAGCCGTTGATTTTCGCCTTTTTCTTCGACGTATCATTTTCATTCTGTGAGCTTCGCTTGCGTGTTTTCTTCGGTTTATGAACAGCGTCCATCGTCGTACATTTATCCGCACATGTGTTCCATGAATGTAGCCATCTTTAAAGCTTTTATAATGAGTACATTCAATGCACTAAAAGGTGCAGGTAGGAGCGACTATTAGAAAATTTCGTGGTCTATTCTTTATTGCTATATCCTTGGACCAGTTTTTTTCTCTTTTTTCACCAAGTCTTGATTTGCATTGTTGGTGTTCGTAATGAATTTAAAACATTGCGTGCCAATAAAGAACTTTATTTAAGGAAATTTCTATTAATTAATCGTATAAAATTAATTCTAGAGACTAGAATTCGTTTCTTAATTTGTAGAACAGATAATTGGCTAATCCGTCTTCCTATTTGTTATGGCTTGTAACATCTTGTACAGCTGACGTGCTCCGATTGGTTGAGCAATTGATGTCTGCGTCTATAGCGGCTGCGTTCCGATACTTCGATTGCCAGCACTGAAAATCTATAATATACGTGACACAAACTATGTATTTTCAGTACTGGCAGTGAACATCAGAGCGCAGCCAACGTTACTACAAACTATATACTTATTTTTTTTAAATTCTGAAAGTATGCACTAGTTCAGCAAAATAAAGAACAGACCTAAAGGAAGATATCGATGAGCGCGCCATCTTCAAATTCCCGGTGCATTTATCCTTCCAGTAGTCCAGTCGTTTTCGTTCATTATATTGGTAATTATCGGTTCAATATATACGTCATTGCGCATTTATGATATGATTATACTTGACGTGATGTGATTATAGGATAATATTAATAGACGAATGTTATATTTAAAATCGCTTTACATATGTTTATTTTCAGATGCTTTGCAGCCAATAAAACAACAACATTTATTTTCTTTCTAAGGAAAGATGAACCAATTAACCGCCTTATGTTAATTGAATAAAATCCGAGAATAGAATTTTACGCGGGACGAAAAGGAAAATAAAGAAATATATAAAATATGCAGAAAATGCAGCAATAAAAAACTGGTTTGCGTTACTTCTTTCCTTACTCTATCTCTCTTAACTCTATCTCTAACTTACAACGAGACGAGCGTCGCGCGTTTAAAAACAATTCAAACACAGCTAATCAACTTCCCATACGGCACAGAAAGTTGCAGCAACGTTGCTATAACGTTGCGACAATGATGCAATATTGCAGCGACGTCGCAGCACTGTTGCTGCAACTTTTGTGCTGTATGGAGCTTCCGTAATGTCTGTTTTATTCCTGGAAAAACAAGATAGACCAATTCAAATTATTCTTTTCAGCGTGCGTCTTCCTTAAAACGTTTGTATTTTATGGTAAACTTGTTTATACCACTTAAGAAAAATTTCTTTCTTACGCAATTGTGTACATGATGCGTACAGTTTGATCTTCCATGTCGTGAGAGAACGGGAAAGTTCGATAAACAATATCAGTCACAAGATCTCACGAGCGCCGGCGCATTGATGCATTAGTGCAGCTGGACGATTGCATGAATATGCGTACTTGACATTGTACGTTCAGATTAAATCGTCGACCTGCGAATACATTTCTCGGCGACGCAACCATCATCTTCGCGCGCGCATTTGTTCCGCATTGCGCCAGATTATGAAATCCCTAATTTTACATAATGCACCACGCCGATACGTGTCGTTGTATTGACGCGACCGATCTTCGTGCAAACGCTCGTAAAAGAGCAATCGCCCAGCCTGCTGCGTAAAAACCAATGCCTATTCGGTGGCTCGCTCTGCCGACGCACTTACGATTGTCAAGGTCGCGTGTCTGGATAATCCAATAAGTATCGTTAATTCCTAATTGTATCGATCTTCTGCTTCGCGGCCGTTTTTCAACGTTAACGACGCTGATTGGAACGATCAGCGGACACGTCGTCCTCGGTAAACTTGCAAATTCATTCGCTTACTCGCTCAATTGTTTATTCTTTTTCTTGTTTTTTTCTTGCCAAAACTTGACGTCGACGGTACCGTGAAGCATGTGTTACGCTATAACTTATCATGGTTACGTAATGCGTATCGTACAAAATAGAATCATAACAAATAGACTCGGTCCGTAGGATCGTACCTTTGGTCCCAGAACCATCTTTCAAAGATTTTTGATAATTCCGCGCACGGTAAAATCTCAAAATAAATTGGCGCGGATTCGTTCGTAGATTCGAGTCTTCGCTTTCCGAAATTTACCTTCGCCATTTCACGATGAATATATGCAAAACGGAATTGAGAGACAAACCGACATCTGCTTGTGCTAAGTAATTCAATATCTGATCTAATTTCCGAATTCTTTCAGTACATGCTTTTAAGACCGAGAACACGTGGAGAAACGTAAATAGGAAGTAGCAAGAAAATTGGCTGATTATAATCGATTATCTTTCGACTGTAAGGAAAATAATTGACATTTTGCTGACAGTTTCATGGAAATTCCTGCGAATATCGATTTGTGATCACCGACTACACTCTCGTAAGGAAAGGGGCACCGCAGTAGATTGAACGCTACTGCAGGTGCAACTCATCGGCTCGTCAACAGAGTGCGCTGCGATCAGGCGGCAGTAAGATGGCGGGTGTACTGTTCGAGGATATATTCAATGTGAAAGACATCGATCCGGAGGGCAAGAAATTTGACAGGGGTGAGTGTACATTGACGATTACATTTCGGCACGTTCGTTCGGCTACTCGTAGCGATAATAGGTATGCTACTTTACCGTGAATATCATGGTGTTACGCCATGTATCGTCACGACCTTGCCGATAGCGTCGGTGTGCACATGGCGGTCAACAGCTGAGCGCTCTTGATCTCGTAGTGAGGCGATCGCGTGAACCTCAACGATGTTGTTCGACAAAGTTCATGGTTGTCGCGACGGTTCACGTATTGTGGGCGATAGGCAGGTCGATAAAGTGACGTGCGTATGGTGTCAATCACGTTCTTCAAGAATGTGGATTGATCAACGTGAGCCGGTAAGAGTGGCGGGTTATTTGAACGTTCTTGAACGCGTATGGCATGGGCGATAAGGGCCGCGACGATTGGGCTGAGATTGGGCTCGATTGCGTACATGTGGACAAAAAATCGCACGAGACCCATGAGCCCATATTTTGCTAGCACGACGGCCGAAGAGGGCGTGCGACGTTACGCCGGGCTGAGAATCGACCGATTACCTTTACTACGGATTACACAGTGTTGAGTATCGTGTATTGAATGCGCTTCATGCTAAAAGTACGGTGAGTTCTTATTGCGTTTATAACCGCAGATATTGAGGTTAGGCTCGCAACGCGCAATAACATTCGTCACGAGCCTCCCCGCGATGACGAAGATCAGCAATCTCGCCGAATATTTATTCCTCCTATGCCCGTTTCATCGAAAATAGATTTCGGTTGAAGTTACGCTGACCTCACTTCCGCCGATATAAGAAGAAGGAAACACACGAACGAGAGCTTTGTCGGTGCTGCGTTTCATACACCGCGTTTATGACTCACGCCGTGATAATCGTCTTGGGGAATTTGCGCCCTTCCCCTCCAGTCTTTCTGTGTCCCCCCAAAGCATGGAAAAAATTTCTCGATTCTCTCCCTCCCGCTCTCTCGCGCGTACGACGGATGTCGATATCTTCGCGTGCTTTTGTGGCGCGGTGCCCACGTCTTTGTTCTACCCTGCGTTATTGCCCGCTCCTGGACCGCAAGAGCAAACTTTTTAGAGCGGCGTAGACTGGAGGCGACCATGACCGAATTCCCCGGCCGGAATATTGAATCTTCGCTGTATCGCGTCCCTGCAACCTTGTCGTACGAAGATTGTCTACGTATCAGTAAACGTTTCTTCTAACGGACACGGTGCGATCACATTTTTGGGCACTTTGGGTGCTATTCAGAGACAACGTGTAAGACCGCAAATCTTACTTTAGTCTTGGCTTAGTTTTTCGATAGTCTAGCATATCTATGTCGATAGCATATCTAGGACTAACGATGAAGGTTATGTTATTCAGAGACATTTTTTCGAAATTATTTAAATTTGGTATTCGAACTAGGAAAATTAGATCCTTCGGGCGGTATTTATAGTAAGATATGTCTTATATTTAACCATCTTAAATTTATTTTCAGATACTTTGTAGCCAATGAGATACAGGTACGGGGAATTGTTAAAGCGCGACTTTTGACATTCGTGTTTACATTTTGAGACTATTTTTTAATTCGTAATGTTTTTTAAACTGTTATCCGAATTCGGGAAATTAAATCCGTCGGGCGGTATGGTCATAGTAGGATAGTGGGATCTATCTTATATTTAATTATCTTAAATTTATCTTCAGATATTTTATAGCTAATGAGATACACGGAGAATTATTAAAGCGTGACTTTTGAAGTTCGTGTTTATATTTTGAGACTTTTTTTTATTCGTGATATTTTTTCGAAATGATTTAAATTCGGTATCGGGACTAAGGAAATTAAACTCTTTGAGCAATATTCATAGTAGGATATGGCTGCGTTCCGAAATTCACTGCCAGTACTAAAAATACATAGTTTGTGTCACGTATACTATAGAATTTCAGTGCTGACAGTGAATATCGGAACGCAGCTTATATCTGATATTTGATTATCTTAAATTTATCTTTAGATACTTCGTAGCCAATGAGATACAATGATTAAAGCGCGACTTTTGAGGTTTGTGTTTACATTTTAGGACTTTTTTTTTTTATTTAATTCGCGACAGTAAAATTATTCTTAATGAATACATCAAATAAAATAAAGCGGAATAGGAAGGTTAACTGGACCATAAAAAGGAAAGTTTCTTGACGGATTTGATATTAAAAAAAGGAACATTATCGAAAAAAGATACAGGTTGCGTGAAAAGTTCGCGGAGCGGCATCTATAAATAAACGGTAGAATTATAAATTGTAGTCGGTTATATAGAATCACTCTTCACATGAACCTAGGTTAGGTTTCATTTCCATCTGTCAATTCTTTCTGTGTTCACAAGCCAATTGAAGTTGACGTGTCAGTATATTTGTTTGCAATGGAAATTTGAAACAGCGTGCAGTGATTGAGTTCTTTGTTAAAAAAGGTTTAAAGGCAATGGAAATTCATTCCGAGATGGTAAATGTGTTAGGGGAATCTGCTCCTTCAAAAACAATGGTTTGTAAATGGGCACTTGAGTTTCAACGTGGTCGTACAAGCAT